TGGTGTGACAAAAACACTAATACACAACTGATAATACTGCACTTGTGAACACGACAAGAGAAGGCACAAACGGAGGTGCTCCCTCTACGATGTCTGGGAGCGAACTGTTTGAACGGTTTGTTTGATATTAATAGCAGTTGTAATCTTTTAGTTTAGGAGTTTGATTGTTCTTCAGGTTGGTTTCCTGGAAACATATTTCTGCTTGGTTGTAGTTATTTGGAAGTAACTTTAAATATTCAAATCTTGTGTACAATCCATTAATGTTACAATAAATTACATTGAAAATATTGTTTGAATTATTATATTTATTTATGTGAGAAAATGGAAAGTAAGATGACTTAATATACTACATACTAATCTTGTTTACACTAGTTCATCTGTAGTATCAGTACATGTATTTTCTGTTTGAATAATTGCTTTGTTGAGTCTGCCTATTTTAGTGAATCTATTGTTTGTTCTGTAAGAAGAGGGTAAGTTTCTTTCATCATTAATACTATAACTTGTAGGTCATTGCTGAATTATTTGGCTATAATTGGGACATCCTTGGCACCAAAACTCTTGTCGAAAAATAATAATTGTTGGTAATTTAATGGAAATCTAGTCTTGATTATTAACTATAGTGCTTTTGATTGGTACAATTTGTTGTTTTACTTTTTTGTTTTGTGTTTTGTCTTGAGATTTAAGTGGTTAAGTTTTTTTCTGGTTTCTTATTTGTTGGTTGAGCTTTTTGGTATTCATTTCTGTCTCTATTCTTTAAAATATGTGATTCTTGTGATGATGAATCAGTGGGGTGGGCTCTCTTCTGAAGAATTGGGAACTGTTGCTTATTGAATAAAGGACCTTCATTTTGATTTCCTAATTGATGTGATAAAGATGTGCTATCAGCTGTTGAATTATTGGTGAGAGAGTTTGTGTTATGTACTTTAGTTTCATTATTATTTAGGGGCACTGATTTGCAATATGACCATTGTCTTATAGATAAAATATGACATGTCTGTAGTGAAGAATATCATGTGTTATCACAGTATATTAAGGTGGAGGTTAGTTGTTTCTCTATATGTTCAGGGGCTATATAAACTTGCCTTGTAAAACTCATTATATGGGAGAAACCCGGTTCACTTGTACCAGCTTTCACAAATAATATTTTAGTTGATATTGTGATACCTCTGATTTTTAATTATTTTTATATTACGTTAGATTTCCCTTATTGTCAGAAGCCATATCTAACTGATTTAGTTACTGCAATTGCAGCCCTTATCTGTTATCTTGACAGATAACCGGCGATGTAGTTATTTTTATGTATCAAAAATGTGTGGATTAGTTGCACACCTAGAACACAAAAATATTTCGATACAACTCGCGACGCTGAATACGCACGGCCTCCTGGATTAGATTAGATTTAGATTTATTCAGCCAAAAAACAGTAAAAACTATATGTGACGATTATCTGCGCACGTTTTCTTGAGTACCAGAATCCCTTCCCGTCATTTTAACTATAAATAGTTGAAAAATTAGTAAAAGTTTAACAGAAATAAAAATAAATTTTAAAAATCGCAAGATTTGAAAAATAATAATTTTCGTTTCTGAGTTACAGAAAACTTATTTGCATAGGTACACGAATTACAAGTATGATTTTTCTGCATTGATAACAAAATAGAAACTCGCCTTTACCTCTATTTCTACCAGTACAAGCAAAAGGAGAGTTCAACAAAACGCGCGCATAGTGAAGCTACATTTTTCGTCCAGAAGCAAAACAAGGGGCCATCTCAGCATTTGCTCAATGCATCGGGGAAACTGGACAAAAACCTGATCGAGATGGTGGTTAATTTTGTTATATGTACATTCCATTTGAGGTTTGACTAAATTGACAGACCTAGAAATTTTGTTACCTGAACATCACCTAATTACATATTATTCATTTTCAATGGAGCATGCGATTGCTGATTTGAAATTCAAAAATGCATTGAAACTGTTTTTCCTTCATTAACTATTAATTTGTTATTACAAAACTAATTTGAAACTTCTAAAATCGTACTATTTATTGTTTCTTTTTTGCAAAGAACATTCGTGTCATCGGCAAATAGAACCGTTCTTCCGTTTTTAATAGACAACGGCATATCGTTTACGTATAACAGAAGGACCTAAGATCGAGCCTTGCGGAACCCCATATTCAATTGGTAAAGAATTGGAAAGATAAGTAAATAATGTCCTTTCGTGCCAGTACGGTATTTCTACTCTTTGAGATCGATGTGTAAGGTACGAAGTTATCCAATCTAGAACAATACCACGAAATAACTCTGAAAATGAGCTCCAATAGTATACGCGCTAGAGCGCGGCAAAACTTACCAATTTTATATATGTTAAAAAAAATAAAAAAAACACACGAGTTTCTACATACGCTTATTGTGACCCCATTTATAGTCCGAATGTTGCATGGAAGATTGTTTTTGAAACAACATTAAATTTTGGACTTAGATATTGTCTCCAGAATTCAAATATCACGGATAGTTTGTGAGATACGGGGAGTTCATTTTTGTCTTCAAAAAATCTCAGTTCTCTAGCTCAAATAGTTTACAAGCTAAAGTATGTCAAAGTTCTTTCTTCTTTTAAACAAATTTAATTCTTTGGCTCTAAAGGTTTAAAAATCAAAGATAATTTTTGTCCTAAAAATCAATATTGTTCGAAGAAAAAATACGAGTTTCGAAAAATGCCTTTAAATGCCACATTTATCGTCCGAATGCTGCATATAAACGTTTCTTTTTTAACTACATTAAATTTTGATCTTAAATATTGCCTTCAGAATTGTAATAGATCACATTGTTTGTGAGGTAATCGACGAACATACTACTTAAAGCGAAAATCACGAAATTTGGTTATGTATGTCTGTCTGTCTGTCTCTCTCTTTCTCTCTCTCTCTCTCTCTTTCACTCTCTCGCTTTCTCTCTCTCTCTACAAAAAAAAAGAAAACCCTATGATTGTTTTAAATATAAAGGTAAGAGACACAGTAGGGATTCCAGAACTCAAGAAAAATTGTACAAATTGACTTCTTTCTCATTACTAAGAGAGAGTTGCAAAAAACGCTTCTAGAGAACACATCCTTTTAACTGTTTTGACGTTAAACAATGTGAAAGGCGAAATTTACTCTGAGCTTCATAAATACTTTTCAACTCCATACCAGAGATTTTAAAGGTAAAAAAGGTAACAATGAGGATGAATGCATAAGAAACACAACTTTGAGTAATTATTTTATTAATTTTTCTATTTTTTTTGTTGCATAAAAATATATAATTTAATGTGGTAAACACAGAGTAAACGGATATTAATGTCGATAATATTTGTTAAATAAAATAATTTTATAGATGCCTGAGTCAAAGACAGTTCTACATAATTTATGTACAAAGTTCATCCTCAGTATGAAACAAGAGTGCAGTAAGACAATTTCACAAATGCTATGCATCTTACTGTATCTAACATCTACTACAGAACCCTTTTGTGCTTTCTCTCAGGACTTATCTATGGTATTGCACCTATATGTACATCTTTCCACAAATTATATATGTATCAGAGTATAAAAGATATTGAGAAAATGTGTAGAAAAAATTTAGGAGTGGCAGACTTGAGCAATAGCAGAAATTGACTTATTGTATTAAGCTCAGACTGGAAGGATAGAGTAGAACTGAAGCTGTGCACACACTGCTAGAGTAAGATACTGTTTTACATCTACTAAGATCTATTTAATGCTTTTCACAAAATTTCCAGCCTGTAAAGATTTGTCATAATACTGACCAAACAAACTGTCTACTATACTAGCTAAAAAATATTTCCAGTCTTTCTTTACACTTTGAAATAACATAATAACATAACAAATGAAAATAACAATAGATTATGTTTGCAGTTTAATAACACCACAAATGGTATTGACTAGCTTGTTACTTGCTTGAATGTTTCAAAGTGTAATGTTAGAAGAAGACCGGATTTTTTAGATGCATGTTAAACATTTTTTGACATCAATAAACACTTGTGAAGTGATGTAGTATTACACATGTTGAACATAGGTACAATATGTTAGCAACATCAAAAACACATTTGTTCCATATACTTATACATATATTGGTTTGCATTACATGAATCTTACATGTACTTTGGACTCAGGTCAATAGCACATTTGGTCACAGTTTACAAATTTTTCACGCTGTAGTTGACTTGTACATTTCAATAAAACGGAGTTGGAATATTTATATATTCTCACATGTTTAAACAACATATGTATAAATTTATACATTAAACATTTTATTTGGATTATACACTCACAAATATGACACTTTAAAATCAGATATACACTCTATTAAATATATTTTGAGTCAGATTTGTCTTAGGATCAAGAAATATTCCTCTCTTTTCATTTCTAAATGTATGTTTCATCTTTTTGCTTCAAAGTGAAAAACTGAACTTTTAGTTTTCTGAATTAATAAAATAATGCAGATATTATTGATTAAGAAGGATGCACATGCTAAAGATTCTAAAATGTGATTAAATTAATTTATCAAAAAGGAAGTAGGTTGGTTTGTGCACCGAATCTTTTCAAGAGGATCTTTTTCATGCTCATACATTGAAGCTTATGAACAAAACACAGAGAAGCAAACCTTGCGAAAATCAGAAGATTAATATCAAACATAACATATGACAATTGCTTCAAGATTATAATTTTTTAAGTAAAACTGATTTATTTTCAAAAGAATATTTAAAATTGTGAGTTTTAAACAACATACTTAAAATCAATGTATTTTTCTTATCTGTATTCAATTTCAAAAGTTGACCAAGATGTTGATTGGTTCGTAACAGTATACACACAAAATATTACAGCTTTTAACATAGGTAGTGTAATTTTTATATGGTCTTAGAAATCTATTGACTGTTTCTGATTTTGAATTTGCTACTAAAATTTGCAACTTTATGGAATGTGTTGAAATTGGACAATAAATCTTGCCTAACATGTTTTAACAAAATTTTCAGTCTCTCTGTATTTCAAGTCTTACACATCGCTTTAGAAGAATTTTTTGTTCATGAAAGCATGAATGCCATAAATTTCATAATCAAGTTTTATGCTTGACATACCAAATATATACTGATCAATTGCAGTGTCTCTGAGGCAGAAAACTGTCTTATTATTCAGACAGCCTCAGTGATTTCATCAATACTTTTCATATCGAAAATCGGTTTTTTGAAGGACAAAAGTGGTTGTTTTCTGTCATTATTAAAATAGGTTATTACAAGTGCGCTTTACAGAGTTTAATAATCTAAGATCAATATGAAATAACATGAGAAATTCTTTGAGAATCCAGTGACAGGCAGCCAAGAATAGTTTTGCTTTCTTTCTTTCTTTTAAAAAAATAAAATATCCAATTTCTGTAATTTCATGTTATATATCCACTATTTACCCAGGCTTTAGAAGTTCTATGCTCTTTTTATGTACAAATTGGATACAGAAATTTTTTTTTTTTTTTTGCTGGAGACTAAATAGGTGTAGTAATCTGTAAACTACAAATATTTTGCAGAATGATTGTCCTGGCACAAATATTTTTGTTGGAACTCGTCACAGAATACACAGGATATCATAAAATGTAAGAGAACAGCAATAACTGTAAGGAACATATTTCTCAAGAGTTGCAGTGTAGTCTACAAACTTTCAAGGATCCATGTGCAAGTGTCAAGTGATTAATGAAGATTTCTTCATGAGCTTAGAGACATTTCCAAATCTGTGAAAAGAAAAAATGCTTTTAATAGTTTCTGTCATGTAGTACCCTTAAGCATTAAATGTAAATCATCCCCAAATGTATCTCGAGTCGATCCATCTAGGGTACAAGAATTTACTAGCAAATTTCACAAAATATTATAATCATTTAGTAGGGCTTATTAGCAAGACATTAATATTCCAACAATGATGAGAGAACAGTGCTAATCACTGAGGGCTGTACTATGGACATTTACCTTAAACCCCAAAACTTACCACAAACTTCTCATATCACTATTTGTGCACTTATTATTAGGCACTTATGCGTTGTTTTTGTTTTTTGACAAAATCTTGGGCCATCTTATCTCCAGTTCTAGATTCTAGAGTTTGAAGTATAGCATGATCTATAAAGTTTGAAGAGAATAAAAATCAAGAAAATATAAATGTGCAGAAGCAATTTAAATAATTATTGTTGAATATACTTCTCTCACTTTTATTTTTTTGATGCATGAGATTCAATTCCACAGTTTTCAGTCCATGGAAATTGTCAATACTGGTGTTGTTTTCATCTACTCCAGGAATATTTCCTAGGGCCAGAAAAGCTTCTCCAGCAAAATCATTGAAGGTCAAAACATCATGGTCCATAACAGTGAAGAGAATCATCGCTCCTTCCACTCTACATTGTTCTAAGGTTACCGAGCTGAAAAACATACACATTTTTGGGGTAGCAAGTTTCATCACCACAACAATTTGAAGCAATTAAAACTTGTAGATTTTTGGTACTACCATCCATCTATAAATAAATCAAATTTAATGAAACTTATGAATGACCAATAAAGTCATTCAAAGATCACAATAAAGTTATCTAATTTACTCATTAATATACTAACAGGGTATAAGCAAGTACTGAATACTAAAGATCAATTTAAGATTGTCAATGCAATTTATTTTCAAATCTATTGATTGCCCACTTTAAAGGTAGGTATATTAAAATTAGTAAACACATCAAAATGGTCTAAGACAGAATTCACTCATAAAATTACAGAGGTCTAAGAATAGACATTAAAAACTCCTGGGGCATGTAAGGGGTCATAGATATTTCCTTTTTGTTGTTGATCATATAGAGGGAAATCTTATTTAACAATGTTACACATGTGAAATTTTTCCAGATGGGAAAGCATTGTGCATTTGTGTTTTGGACTGCAACAAGTGCAAATGAATCTAGACAGGAACATTGAGATGCTGAGGGGAGGGTGGAGGTAGAGTAGGTGAGGGGGGGGAGGGAGAAAGAAGGAGATGAAGGGCAGAACGTCTGCTGGATTCTGCTAGTAAATAAATAACATTCTCATATGTACACAATTAATTATACATTCTTCCATGTCTACATGTATCCTACATGTGAATGTAAATCTGGAGAAAACTTTAAAAAATTATGAATCTTTTGTTAACAAAAAATATTACCATACATTTAAAAAAAACTTCACTTCTCCCCAAAAGACAATATTTATTGCAGGTAATCAAAATTTCTGGTACTCACAATTCAAAACATTCATCAAACATTGGATGCAAAGTTTTCTTTTGGACATTTGTTTGTTGTTCTGCACAATGAGCAAATACTTTTCGAGGGAGCAATTCTATGATGACAAATGGATCACTGAAGCCTGAAAAATAAAGCATGGAAGCCTCCTAATACTATAATTACACAGGACATAAATAATTAAATATTTAAAGTAAATAAGGTACAGTAAATACAATGTATGGTATAGTAAATATAAATTAAGTAATTTCAGTATACAAACCATTGGGGTCAAGTGGTATCACATCTCTTGCATTTAGCACCTCCACACACAAAGAATCATGATTGAAATAGGCTCTGACAGAGAGTACTCCATATTCTATGCTTTCTGTGGTCAGTTGATCTTGCAATCTTTGAAGGTAGTAGAGATGAATGAGCCCCTCTGTTTCAGTCTTATGATATTGCAATCTCTGTTCTACTCGCCAGTAAGTAGCTTCAAGCAAACAAATTTCATAGCACAAATATTGGTGTAAGAACAAATACACATATTTTAACCTTTATTTGTAATGTTCTATTGAAAAAAGTAATTTTTCAAAGATGTCAAGTGAAATATGTATATTTATTATTTTTTTTATGTGTATTTAATTGTTTGACACATGCAATTTTTCTCATAGACCAGACACTTCTTCAAACTAGGAAAATAATGCCGTTTCTTATTAATCATGTCCTTAATTAGTCTTAAATTAGTACATATTGACTTATTTGTTCACATGCGTATAAATATGCACTGTGAGAACTTTACAAAATAATAATTTGTATTCTAATTTCTTGCTGTAGTTGTTGAAACTTTTTTGCTTTCTACTCACTATTCAATACAGATTACAGAACTAACTAATTTAATAGTTTCTATCTACTGTTTTAGCATTTACACATATCATTCAAATAACATTAATGATGTGTGAAGATTCCAAGAACTGTTTGAACAAACATTTTTTTTTTCTAATTTAATTTTTTTCTTTTTTAATATTCCCATTCATTACTTCTATACTTGTGTTTTCCCCATCTGCATAGTCTCATGTTTAATTTTTTCATTGGCAATCTTAATTATACTAAGAGGCATGGATTGAACAGTGAGACAAAACTATTATCTACAAAATCTCTGTGAGTCAATGTTGACCAATTTACTTATTATTCTGTTGTCTCTTTTGCTTTATAGCATGTCTTTTGGTTTTGTTCATCAGGCAACTAAATATAATTTTTTTACTATTTCTTCGTTGTAGTAATTTGTATCACTTCATATTTGTTTCTCTCTCTCTCTCTCTCTCTCTCTCTCTCTCTCTCTCTCTCTCTCTCTCTCTCTCGCGCGCTCTCTCTCTCTCGCGCGCGCTCTCTCTCTCTCGCGCGCTCTCTCTCTCTCGCGCGCGCTCTCTCTCTCTCGCGCGCGCTCTCTCTCTCTGTCTCTCTCTCTCTTCTCTCTCGGCATATTACTCTCTATTATAATAAGGCATATTATAAAATATGAATATCTTTTCAAGCTTCTTATCATAATTGTTATTTCTTCAGAATTTTAGCAACTGTTTTCATTCAAAGATGAACTAAAGTTACTTCATTACTACTCAATTGAGCTTATGTTACTTCATTACCATTGTAAGGAAATCGTTCAATTTATTATATTTGGTATAAATAATGAACAATGATACTAACTTAAAATAGAATGAGAAATGAGACAGTTTTACTGTACCTTAATTGCCTATTAGTGTGGAAATGCCACAGTTGATTTGGGATTTAATTATAATGGTATTTAATTATAAATAATAAATTATAAAGGTACGATACCTGAATTTTGATATCATTAAGGTAAGTTGAAAGTATTGGAATTGACAACATACAGGAAGAGACAATGCAAAGTTGTCAGAAGGCAGTATATTGAGGAACTATGAGTGGGTATTTTCGATAACCATCAGGAGGAGACGCTTCTGTGAACTGTTTGAATATTTTTTAGAAAATGAATAGTAGTAGAAGAGACTAACAGTAATTAGTTGTGGCCTTTTTTTTCCCTTCCTCCAGTGAATTGATTTGTTTGTTTTGTTCAAGTTACATTTTCACTGAAATTTATTTTATTCTTTATATTACATTTCAATTAAATTGTCACCAAGATAGAGATATAAGTAATTAGTAGTTTTTTTAGATTTGTGTTTTAATTTTTTTGTCAATAAAGGCTCTAGCTGGAAAAGATGGTAAAAAATGCTTCTGCTTGAAATCGAAAAGTAAATATTTTCTAAGGATTGTGACCACGAAAAACATTTTTCATGGACGTTTAGATTCCTTTCCCTACACATCCTTTATAATAACGAAAAATGTGTTTTTATTATTTAATTTCATTCATTGAAATTAACAATAAACAAATTTAACATTAAACAAACCTTGAAAATATTGATTCTTGATGTGAAATTTACTCAATTTTTAAAAAATAATTTTTAAAATTTTATTTGCCTCGAAATTCAAACTTTTATATGGATTTTAAAATTTTGGAATTTTTTTAAAGCAAGTTTTCATTCTACCGAACGCACGAGAAAATCCCCAAATGTTGCCATAATAATCAGCTATCTTCTAGAACTTTTTCTGATTTTTCTGATTCGTGCGCCATGTTTAAAAACTTAAAGTACATATGTTTGACCCTTTTATTCGTGTATATAGAAATGTTTAGAGATATGTAGATACAATATTATTTTCTAGAGGCAGTATTTAAAATATGAAAAGGCTAATATCAATACAGTAGTTTACGAAACAAAGGCGCGAAACAGGTAATTCACGCACGAGTTGAGTACGGGAATCACCTCGCGCCGTGTTTCATGTACTATTTTTTTAACACGCCGAGGGCGAAATGCAATATCAGGCAAACGCTTCGCGATGGTTCGCACTCTGGAAAAAATAGCTGGTTCGCAGACGGAAAGCAAGCACGAGAAACCGCTTTTCGCGCTCGACATGTTAAAATATAGTTTTGTTATTTACATCGAGAAATACGCGCGTAGCTCCTTAGCAACCAACCATCTAAACAACGCATTAAGGCTAAATGTACCGACACTAGTTCAATTTGTTGCCACCACGTAGCAGCACCACAATAAGCCAAAATTTATCAAAAAAATACTCACGCAACTTTTCTTGAACGATGACCTTGCTTCCCTCTCTCTGGCACATAAACAGTTAAAGGCAAAAGCTTGCAGTGAGCACTGATGACAACATTCCCAGCACATCTTCACTGGCGCGAAATAGAAACAATTTTCTTTTGAAGGGAAGAACTTCTATCCGTTATTTCTCCAAAGAAATGTAAATAAATGACCGAAGCAGGTAAAGATCTATCACAGGAGATACCTGGACCTCCTGAGAAAGTTAGAACGCAAATTATTGAGAATTTTGCGAAGGCATGACTGATTCTCCAGAGATTGGAATTGCTTCATAAAATATGGTGGTCGATTTCGTAACTAATACCCCCACTCTACCCGCATTTCTTCAATCCATCGTTCAAGAAATGTTGCGCGAGTAATACTAATAACGTCTGAACGTGGTGCGATTTCCAATCAGTAAACGACATGGGATTTGTTTTTAATATAAAATTTACGCTATAAAACCTCTTTGAAAAAAAATTGCAAAATGAGTTTTAATTTTATTTTTTAAATAGTTTTGGGAAGAAATTTAAAAATGTGGGCTTATAGCGCGATGGCGAACTGCTTCCTGAATCTAACGCCGTATCAATCGTCCAAATCGGCTGAATAGGCGCGTCGTAAAGTGAAATTGGGCAAAATACAATGCCCCCTCCCCCATGCCGCGCGTGGGGCGCCGGCTCCGAGGGGCACGGGAGCATTCCATGAGAGATAAGAGAGGCAGGCAAGCAGGCGGTTCTCTTGTGGCCCGACTGAGATAATGCTTTCGCTATTTTCCACATCACAAAATTAGTTTTACATTCTCGTATACGTACCTATAACAGTAATATACTTAGTATAGAGAAAGTTATTCAATGATGCGGAAAATCGATATTGAGATTTCAACGAAATACATGTTTTAGGGCCCTTTAATACAGAAAAAGTATTTTTTTGTTTTTTGTTTTTGTTTTGTTTTGTTTTGTTTTTTCAAAACGTCTGACCGTTTGTCTGCTCATCTGTGAACAACACTAGGGCCGAAACTAAAAGTATTCTATGCTGGATCTAGCCAGTCTCAAAGCTTTACGAACTCCAAAAATATTGTTTAAAATTTGGGGATACTTTAAATGACGCCCCAAGGACATCTTTTATATTTTGTCAAAAATGGCTCCAGTTTTTTTCTTCGGATTTGTTGTAAGAATAGATTGAAATATGTTCACAAGGGGCACAGGTCCGATGTTTACTATTAACTTTGATTTTTTGAAGGTTACAAAAGTTTGAATTTTTCTCTTCTCAGCGTCTCCTCCCAACTACAGTATTGAAGTTAGATTTTTCCTCAAATGAAATTTGTTTTCCCTAATTAGTTCTTTCATTGACGTCATGCACATTTCTTTGAAAATTTTAGTCGTTTTTGTATAATATTGCGTGAAATATGTACATCACAAAAATACTAAAAACCAGAATTATTAAAAAACTGCTTCAATTTTTTTCAAACTTTGTGTAGGGGTGTTTCTAATTGTCCTATGTAAGATTATACGCCGTATTGCTTTATTTATTTATTTTTTTTTTCAATACTTGACATTTCTATCACGTCTGTAATACATTGCCAGCGGCTTGTATACATTATTGCGTTTGTTTAATTAATGTCTCATAATAGTAACCGAAAAAATATGTAGTATGAAAGTCAAAATATGTATATAAATATGTAATGAAAACATTAAGAGTATGTAATAAACATGTAAAATAGGATAAAATATGTAATATTAAAATACACAATTATAAAACGAACATTTACATAATACTAAATTACATTTATAAAAAAATACGATATAAATTTTAAAAGTGATACAAACGTTTTAAATATAATTTGAACAGTACAAATTGACCCATGCTTCGTACCATACAACTTTCCCTTCAGTTGTAAAACCTTCATCTACTGCTATTCAGTACGGTCATTTAGCAGCCACCCTAGACGCAATAGAAACCATCTTACAAGCTGGTGATATCTACGACTAGCAAATTAACACTGCAGCATGTAGTTTTCTCAGCAAAGAGTTACATGTCGATGATCGGCAACGTTTCTCGGAAATTAAGGTTCAAGTTCACAAGACTCGGCGTCAGTAATACTTTTCACACCTGAAGATGAAACTGATCTCAGTCACTGACGTGCGCTTCCCGCCAATGAGATAACTGATGCAGACGAGCAGGACTGTGAGAACATGCTACCGCGTCTTCATGCAGCGAACCTCGAGTAGACAGCACGCAATAACGATGTATAATAAGAGTGTTTTTTAATACTTTTCATAAAAATGAATCATAAAATTGAAGAAAATTGATGAAAATAGCAAAATATGTAAAAATATGTAACGCAAAATGTTAATATTGTGTTAGGACGGCAACGATTCGCCAAAATTAAAATTTTTAGATCGGTAAATAGGAAGACAAAAAATATGTACTCGTAATTACATAAAAATCCGGCCCCTACTCATAAAGTTACTCGAAAATTGAAAAGTATTCTGAGAAATTGAGCTCGCAGTTCTGCATTTTCAGATATACTCAAACGTTAGTTTCTTAAATTCTCCAACGAAATGTACATGTATGACGATATTTTATATTCTTAAAGTCATGTTTCGGTTGTATCATTAGGGATACTAAAAACTGAAAAAAAAGTGAAAAAAGTATCTTTACCTGGGTAGAGGGTGGAGTGAAGCCGAACATCTAGTCCAGAGATAAAGAAATAAGGAAACGAACTAGTTCTAGAAAGTCTGTGCCATTCTGTAGCATCAGTAGTTTATTTTATTTCACAAATCACACTATAATTGGGGCAGACGTTCTCGTATCCTCTATAACCGAAGTATACTTTTTTTTTTTATAAATTCAGTTTTATATTTCTACATAATTCCGATTTTTACCTGGTCATTCTTCGAACAAGTTCCGGAAACTGAGGTGGCTTCGTGGCTAAAGAATGATCATTAGCAGCGGTAGCGGAGATGGAGCGGGAAGTAAAAAGGGCAGCGAGCAAGCGAGCCAATCAGTATTAGTGAACTTAGTAAGGGCTTTCGCAGTGTTGTCTATTTGCGAACCACAGGTCCAGTGCCGCGTCGGATTTGGAATTCCCGGAACTCCTCCTCACGATGCCCGTAAAATTAGCATAACACAGTTTAAAAACTGGAATTAAACTCAAAATTAATCGCATTTTTGTTGTTAATTTGTTACGCAAAAAAAAGTGTCGCTCTTCAATTGACCCTGCTATAAACTATTGGCAAACTGTACTTCAAGTTAGCACCTCAAAAAGCTGAAAACGAAGAAATTACAAAGATAAATAAAAAATAATTACGTGGGAATTTGTCGCTTTTTTTGTTGCCCAATAATAACCGAAAATAAATAATTTTGTTTGGATTTCTATAGTCTCTAATTGTATAGAAACAGTTGTGCAGTAGAAAAGATTTTTCTTGGGACTTAAACTTTTCGATCGAATTAAATCGATTAATTTCATCTGGCAAAGTGTTGGAAAATAATGTACATGTATACAAATTTTTTTGTAGTGAGCTGTTGATACCGGCACAAGGATTGTAAAAGCAAAGTCGAGAGTCCCTGCAGTGACATCAGTCGATGTCCTGAGACAGAACACACGAATTACGCGCTCACCTTCATCACCTTCAAACACTTCCATTAAGAGCCAAACGACGTTAAGTGGTGACCTCTAGTAAGGGAAAACCCCCACTGAGCGGTCACAATTGAGGTACGATAATGGTAACATAATTATTGTTATATACTATGGAATTAATTCAATTTTTTTATTATTTTGTGTATTATAATTACTACATACCTGATTTTAGTTGATCCAGTGGAAGCCCTTTTTGATCGGCATGGAAAAAGTCCACCAGAATTTCTAGAGCCTCATACAGTCGTTCATAAAAAACTGCAACTTTATCCTAAAATTGGAAAAATTAAACTAAATAAAAACAAACAATTATTTTCCGTAAGTTAATAATACAATATACGGGTAAAAATAAGAGAAAAATATTCGAAAATTTGAATACAAAGAATTTTTTCAATTCATTTCTTAAAATACCGTTTGATGAAATTCAAATATTTCAGGAATCCTGAAATATTTGAATTTTATCTAACGTTTTTGGGTTGTTAAAAAAATTATATATGGAGTGAAGAAAAATGAGCACGTATCTAATATCATAGATGTTAATATAACAATAGAAGTATAAGGAACTGTGAGTAGAGATGGCTCACAGTTGCGTATACTTTCCCTCTCCCACTTCTCCGTACAGTTGCGGCTAACATAATGCAGTATCAGTTAAAGAAATTTTTGATGAAACTACAAAAGTAATAACAATGCCTCAAGAAGACTATTCTCGTTTGGAAAATAATCTGGATGAACATTTTTTTATTTAATGACTTTGAAATAACTCGCCAACACGAAGCAGAAAGAGACGGTATTCTTACTGTTTTATACTTCAGAAACCAAACGTTTTCTAAGTCAAAGAAGGCGACGATACACTGAAGCGAAATCTGGAATTACGGAAACCATCTATATTTGATAACTGTGTTGCGAGGGGATATTGTACGCGCCTCATTGTTAACAAATGAAACATGTGAGCTCCCGATTAGTCCAATCAATTTGTGCTCAAAAGGGCCCGATCCAGTAAAAAAATTCCGAAGATTTTCTCAAAGGTTCTATACGTCTTTGAAGGAACTGATTTCGTATTTGTTGTTTACCATCTCAAAATAGGTTGGTTTCACAGACAAAATTGCAAAAGCCCGTAACATTTCGCCATGTTTATAGTTTTTCGCTTATACCTTTAAAATATGCGTTTTACCGAAACAGTTATTTACAAAAATAAAGTAGATAAAATATCCTATAAAATGTATATTAAATTTCTGAAAAGCGGTTTAGGTGCTAGAGCGCGCTGAAAAACGGTTACTTTTTGGCCCTCTGGTCAAAGCGGGAGAATAGCTCCTTCCAGTCGTCTTATCTCGCGGCGTTGCTCTAGTTTAACTTGATCATGTTTGTAAACAGCTATTGTGAACAAATAATTGGCATCGTTAAAAGTGAAACACCTCGATACTCATGGAATCAGTAAGGACGTATTTTCTTTCGCGGAGTATCTACATCCTTGAAACACACAACATAAAACACACAACATAAGGTACGCGTGCTTTAACTATTTTTGGATGTGAAAGAAAATCACCTGCAATCACTTTATCAATTCTTCGGTGGTAGACTGGTATTCCTCGTCGCTGTTTCCAAGAAAACTAAAAACAGTTTGCATCTCTGATTCTGCATCGCTCATCCAGGGCCTGATTACGATTTTTGTTGCTATCTTCTTTGGGGGCAGATGCAGTGCTTACATGCACATCAAATAAGCATATACCTCAGCAGCTAACAAGGAATTTACTGCCTCAACACAATATACTATATAACATCTAAAATCAACATTACGATGACTCGCGAGTGATAAAAGTTTCTCTACCTGCTAATTTTCTATACTATATTTCGTTTTGAGGGAAGGTGTTTGATTTGTTTCTTCGCGAAGTCTCGTTTCTCATCCTCTCCACAAATAAAATAATGGGTTTTAAAAACAAAGTCAGGTAGATGAACATTGTTGCAGTAATTCAGACTTCTTGAGCCCTCTTCACGTAAGCAAAAGTCAATTTTTCGTTTTCGTGTTGCCTCCCATTCTTACCGTGGACTTCAATTTGTAGGTTACATTTAAATGAAAAAGCTTTCCATCCGGTCGTCTCTCTCTGGCTTCAACGAAATATGTCAACCTCCCTTTCACAAAAGTCGTCTAGGTTCCATCTTCCAACGTTTTATCACAATATCTCACTCCCTGCAAGGCATTATGCACACGCAATAAAACTAGAAATATTACAAGTTCGCATTATTTTACAATGAGTTCGTGATGTGGGAAACTGTATTATCATTGAATGCCGACTTCGTGCCAGCGCGTAAGTCTGGATTAGCGCTGAAGAGACCATCGCGCGTGGCATAGGGAGTTACAGTCACGAGCCTGAAATGCTACGTAGAATAATATGCAAATTATAGATTTCCAAAATTGCCACGAGGTTCTGCGTATCATGCGCGAGAATCTGGATAACCTCTATCGCTGTCGTTTCCATGGGGATTTTACAGTATATCGCTGTCGGAGATTTGTAGAAGCAGTAGTTTACGTTTGCATGGACCACATAATGTGGTGATAACAAAGCTACACAGCTGGAGGAGATGAAGTAACAGGAAAAGAGAGAGCAGGAGATATTTTGTATAAGAACCGAAGGTCTCAGTAAATATTTTTCCTCGAAAAATGTGTTCATTGCATCTGGCAGAGCCGGACTCACTGCACATTTCTATGTAACCCATCTCAACACACTTTATGGTGAAATTTTTAAAAGAATAAGATTTATTATTGTTTTCTCTGGATCAGCAGAAAATATACTTATAAAATATATATCCCTAAACTTTACTTCTATACATATATACGTAAAGTATATTGCAATGAGCAAGGCTCATCGCACAAGGACGACCCTCGAGTCACGCTGAGTTAAAATACTTCGAGGCAGACACACACAGCTGCACGCGTGCCGGTATCCCTGCTCGTAACCACCCCCGAAAGGTACCCTTCCACCCCTTTGAGCAACAGTGGGTGATGGACAGGCAGAACTGTTGCATTACGAGGCGACAGCAGCCTACTGTCAATCAAGACCGGCCTATGGAAAACTTCGCATGAGACTTTCCATTACGTTTTGTGGCGGGATAGGTCGGACATCTTGCGAGAGCGGTGGGGGTGGAAATCGCAGAGGCAAACGGGCGCTGGAAGGTCTGGACAGATAGAAATAGACTATCGAAGTGAGCGGTCGGCTCGGAGATTTGTTTGAAATTTTAACGGCGTCTACCGCCGCACGAGAAACTAGTAATAATCTCGAGCCAGTAATTTCGATAACTCCAGCATCGGAATTTATTCCGAATGTCGGACTAGAACCATTTAAGAAACACCCTTCACGTATACGAGGGAGTGTGCAGCATTGTTTCTCGGCTGCTAAACACTACGCGGTCCAGGCGACGTTTGACAACCTGTGACCCGCGCACCGAACGTTGCTGCCTCAAGTCCACTGGACCCTGGGCGTTCTCCGACTCAACCAGGCGCAGATTCCTGCCGGCTTCCGGAGAAGTCCATGGCTATTCGGCGAGCCATCTGCTGCCACCGATTGCCAGTTGAGTGTGTAATCCTTTCGGAGTAAAGTATCTAAATTCCAGCTATCACATCACTGTAAGTCCATGTATTCAATTAACCGTCGAATGTAGAAGATCAACACGAACAATAAACGTGTCCCCGTCGTTTTGGTCGGGTGATTATACTAGGAAAAAGTGTATTTTTTAAATAATTAGTTAGTAAATGCAACCTCCGACTCAGGGCGCCCACCCCTGTTGAGGTCTCGACGCCGGCGCCCAGATACAGGTAGGCATACGCTTGGCGCCCCCGTAAATAAATTTAGCGCATGCTCCGGGTATCTGGAAATTACCGTCGCGCCTTGAGTGTGACGGAACTCTTATGATAGTACGATTCACTGCGACACGAGTATTCACGTCAGCGAGGTCCATTACAATATATACTTAAAACATCATACTTAATTATTTTTTATTCTACCGTAATACTCAATTTCTTTTTTAACCTGAAGTTTTCATTCCCAAATATCTATGAAATTATCTGGATCAATCTTTTTGTTTAATATAAAATTTTCTTATCAGTGTTATTTTTACTTTTACTCATAACTTGGCACATATTAACACAACTGATTGTTGGTACAATTTTTTTATGAATATATTTTATTGTACAGATTGTATTGTCGTAATAATTTTCTTATATCCCTCTTATTTTGGTTACCTAAGGCTTCAATTTACTGATACTCCGCGCGAGCAAATACGATCCTATTGATTCTATGACTTTCGGAGTGTTAATAATTTAACAATGCTAATTATTTGTTCACAATTTCTGTTTTCAAGCATGATCAAGTGAAATTGGAGCGCCGCTGTTAGGAAGGCCGGAAAGAGCTATTCCCTCGCTTTGGCCAGCGAAACACTAAAAACAAAGCGAAATGATGTTGTTGTTTTTTGCAATTTGCTCTGTGAAGTCGACCTTTTTTGAGATAGCAAATATAAAATTCGATTTCAGCACCCTCAGAAACATACAGAACAGTTGAGAAAAATAAATCCCGAATTTTTTCCTGCATCAGATACCTTTTGACTGGACTAGATGTAAAAATACGACCAGTTTACCGAACAGTCAATTTGCAATATATCTTCGCAGAGAGTGTCACTTCAGGAAGATGACAGCTTATTGCCACGAAGAAACAAAAAAAACGCGGTTCACACTGTTCATTTACTTAATAGACTGCAGATGAAAATTGCATACTGTTTTAAGAATACAAATACAATTTGTTCAGAAAGAGAATTAACTTTACCCTAGGATGCATGGGCCCTGGAAAAGACATGAATGCTTGTGCAGGACCTCTGAGGCTCTGCGCAATACGCAATCGAAAAATGCACATAACATTTTTTTATTCTTAATAACTTCATTTCTTTATGATTTCAATAAAAGCCAAATCTTAATGTTAAGTAAATGATTATTTAATGAACTATGAATATGGCCGTAGAGGCCCTGCGTATAACTTCTGAAGATTCTTCTTTGCAAGTGACAAAAAGCAAAGTAGAAAGATAGAAGGAATATTGCCCGGAGAGCAAGCTCTCAGAAACGCAGCTGTGCAGAATAAAAAGCTAAATAAAAAACTGAGGCTGTGCTTATGCATCCTAGGGTTGCTAATTTACAAGGTCAAAATGCTTTCTATACATTTCCATGATGGAAATTGTTAGCACCAACTTGTTAGCCAACTTGTTAGCACTCGAAATCAACACCCGAACTCCAAGCATGAACTTTTATTTTTTATACATTAAAAAAAATTAGATATCGAAGTCTATGAAGATGGAACTAACTTCAATTTCATTCCACTGTTTTTTTTAACTCTAACTTAGTATATTGATTTAATTTGGAGTACATAATTTAGCGTTCACTAGAATCACACCATCAGAATGTTTAAAGACCCTAATTACCTAATGGTTGACACAGGTTGTAAAGCGCTCAAAACCATTTATAGAGGTAATTGAAAGCTCATTTTAAAGCTTCGGGAGGGCTTCCATCTATACATTCCTGATGTAATAACATGACTAGAAAATGCGTCACTTTTTCGACTTGCCGGGGGCCATGGAAGATCCCCGACCGTTTGAGAACGTTTGATTGTGAAGCCCCTTAGACTACCTAGAGGTGTGGATGAGATGGCGAGATTTTTGAAATAACAAAATGAACTATATTTAACACCTCTTACCCCAGCATTGCCATCCATTTGCTGGCCCAGTTCGAGAAGGCAGACGTCCCACACGTCGTTCAAGACGCGCTCGAAGTTGCGGGGCAGCAGGGCGGCGTTGAGGGCGACGAGGTGGCTGTCCAAGTACTCTAGCAGGGGGGAGATGGCCTCCGAGGTGGGCAGGGAGTCTGGGGACCACGCCAGATGGAACATGGCCTTCTTCAGGGCAGGACGCATCTAGCATTTAAAGCAGCCAGTGAGACAAGTTTATAATGCTACTCTTAATTGGATAAGTCCATGCTTTGGAAATGGGCCACGTTACGACCGTGTTTTCACATTTGAATTCCGTGCCCCTATTTTTAAACAGCAGCATTACAATTTTTTTAAGTTAATATTGAAAACAAATTTCATAAGTTAACTTTTGGAATTGGTACTACTGACGTCGGTATTATGATGCCACGAATATTTCACATTCATGCGTTTTTCAGGTACCACCTCCAGGTTTGCTCGCTGTGGTTCGTTGTGAGCGCGCGCCATAAACTAATAATACGTGATAATTTGTGCAATAAAATGCCATTTTATGAACGATTTCTTGCAACAACAAAAATCGTTTATAATGCTGATAAGATTTGTTTTTCAACCAGTTTACACACGTGCGTAAAATAAATAAATAGTATTTTGGAAGATGCATCACGATCATTATTTTTCGCCGGTCGCTAAGAGCAGATTTGCTCCTATTATATTCTGACCGAACAGATTCGCTACAGACCGGTAGCAGTGTACAAGATAAAGAGAATAATCTAATTATAATGTACTGTAAAATAATGTGAAATAAAATTATAGTATTTTAATAAAATTTGAACTGATTACATTAAAAAGAATAACCGTAAACAGCATGGTTTATATAAAACTGATATTTTTCCTCTTTCACAAAGATAGGATATGAAGAAGGCCCGGGCAACGCCGGGTATGCAATGAAATGAACTCTTGGGGTACTTTACTTTGGCAGCAACTCGGCTGATGATCTGCAATACTCGCGCTTCCAACTGAGTCGTGGCTCCATCCAAAATGCCATAGAGAGCATTTCTCCATTGCTGTCTATTTCCGTCCCCAGTTGCCATTTCTACAGCCTCTAGAATGTTGTCTACATGCAATTCTGTCCCCAGAGCTGCTAAAGATCGTCTGACATATTCTAAATCATTGACTGTCACACACATCTGTAATACAATGAAACAAATTGTTACCTCGTTTTCACAACATTAAGCCTAGGAAAATAAAAGTATGAAGAATATTCATTAAAGAAAATTCTAGAATTCTAAAAGAAAATAAATTTTAAATTATTTATCTACTTTACAAAAAAAGTTTTGATTATCATAAATGTTAACAAAGTAAAAAAGAAAGCACTTAATATCTAAAATTCAGAGAGGTGTACGTTTCAGGCAATAATTTATTCTTTAAGCACAAACTTTTAAAAATGCATTGTAACGAGTCGAGATTATCAAAGACTTTCGATATCAAGTGAATGTTCATGTGTACGACGAAACGTTATGAAATGTAAGACGTAGTTCAGTTATAAGTGAAGACTAAATAACTTAATTGTTGATAAGGAATGTCTTAGAGGAGCTGGAAGATTTGAGGAAATATGAATTTATTTATTTACGTCAAAACAATTAATCACAAACGTAATTTATTTACGTCTGTGTGACGTGCTATAGAGAAGTTAATTTGAAGTTACATTTATGAATGGAAAATATGAATGATGTTTGATGACTTGTGAACGGGAACAGAAAGACGTATATTGAAAAAACGAACAGACTGTAAAGTTTTCCTTTAGTTGTTTGCGTTTAGTTCTTCTCTTTGTTAGTGTTTTGTTTTCTGAGTATTATTTAATATAGTAAATAAATGTTTCATTTTATATTTGAATTTTGAAAATGTTTTTTGATTAATCAAACGGTAAGTTACCTTATTCAAGTTTACGGTGTATGCGATAAAATCATGGACCCTGGAAATAAATAAATGGATATTTCTGTTTTTCATTATTAGTGGATTTATTTCATTAAAGAAAAAATTATAACCATCACAGGATACACAACACAGTAGTTCTATAATATACCAAGAATATTGGCTGAAAAAAGTGGCTGTTCCATAAAGCAATATGTGAATAGCAGCTATTTCATGCCGGGCAGCCCCTTGTTGGAGCCGTGCGAACGCATGGGTGTATGGGTGTAAGCTACACTGCACTGAATATGGAAACAGACGAAATAACAGAAACAAATGTTTGCATTTTGAGTCAAAATTTAAACTGTTTCATTGTTTTGGCACTTTTAGCGAATTCACAAGTAACTAACGAAACAATATGGAACTCACATGGCCGAAAGGTGCAGAGTTTTCCTTCAATTTATGCGCATATTGGATTTTTTAAAAATGTCTTTTCCGAGTTCCTGAGTATTTAATACAACCACAGATACTTCTCAAAAGCCCAAAGGCCAATTGATAGTGTCCTATCAATTTCTGCGCGCAATTGGAAAGTAGTAATAGATGCTTTTGTGTTTTTCCCGAGTTCTTAGGTAACTAACTACAAACTCATTTCACATGGTCGGAGGCATATTTTCCTATCAATTCTTATGTTCATTGTAAAATTAGTATTATAGAATTTTGTAAATATTGCCATTATGTGTCAAACACCCATTGTTTATGTTTTATGTAAATGTAATGTATGTTTATGTAGAAAAAGTGCTCTAATTTTCTACTCCATGATTTTAAAATATTTTGTGTCAATTATTTAGCATTGAACAAGAAAATTCACATCATTGTGGTTAAATATGATTTTGTTAGACAATAATAAGAAGCAGACAGGAGAGATTTATGAGTGATTCAAATACAATGATTTAAGAATAATCATGCAATAAAGATAAAGGTTCCACATACTTCATCGTTGACTTTAAAGGCGGTTGGATCTTCATAGTAACCAGTATCTTGCAACTTCTGATGAATAAGGTCTGAGTAATACACGGCGGCGCTGCATATACACTGTCAATAAATTAAGCAAAGTAAGTTGCGAAGTAATTGAAACGAAAACATTACAAAACTCTGCATTTTTATCGCTGCACAAGAACAGTGAACCACGCAAAATAATGTTACAAAACAACGGTTTTATTCTGTGTGGAGCCTTTTATTTCGCGTCCAGGGACAGTGTTTTACTCTCTGCATGTTTCGTCAGTCTGGTGAACTTTCTTTATGATATTTTTACTAGCAATACTATACTATCATCTAAACGTTTTTATCCACATAACAAACAATGTCGATTTTGGGGAGGTATTACTTCTCTGGTACACCCACAAATTGATTCGATTTATTTTCGTTGAGAAATACTAAAAATGTGCATGTAATATGCGCACGTTTTCTTGAGATCCATAATATTTACCCCAACAAATATCAAAATGACAAATTCATCAAATGAAAAATAACTAATGAAAGCGACATTATTCTATTTTTGTGTATGGTCAGATCAATGTAGATCAGTCTATTGTGAAGATAAAATATTCCAGAAATGCGCAATATTATTCTTAATTGCCAAAATCTGTCTAATAAACATTAAACTAAACTAACTTGAAGAGTAAACAATATTTAATTTTACTTTCAGTATCGAATATCTCCACTTTGTATTACATTCTTAAATGAAAAAATATTTACTAAGCCTGCTCTCCTGAAAATTATAGATTTACTACCCTTTCTTTCATTAAAATCGGTAAAGTAGATTTGGAACACGAAGAAAATATTAATAATAATAATATATGGGAATATATTATAATTATTCTACATTATTATTACTATTATTATTAATAGCCATTAATAACACCCCATGTGAGCAAAGGTTTCCTGCTAGGTACGGTAGCTTACATTCAAAAAATCTTCTCGAGCAGTCACTTTGAGAAGAATATTTCTTAATTACTCATTTTAGTCACTTAATTCTTCAAACCATTTAATATTAAAAATTATTAATCAGTACTAGTGTTTGTATTTTCACCACTTGTAAAAATATACAAACATACAAATTTCGAAACGAACCACATTACACATAGGGCAGTTTTTATCTCAAAGATTGCATTGCTGGTACTTACATCGATGATTTTAACGACAAAATTATAAGATCCCACAAGGTCTGGCCATGCTAGTTGTCTCCAAAACTCTTTAATCTGCAATAAAAAAGAATTTTTACTGAAATCTTTCAACATTTTTGAATGGATCTAATGATTAGTCATTGAAGTTAACGACCATGAGGTTAACCAACAAAGAGCTAATGAATTCACAGTAAAACTAGTGTTACAAAAGCACAAACTTTCTCCTTTACCTCTAACGGATATGTAATATTGTAAGTTGCATTCTAATCATTGTTCAGTAATCTTGTGAAACATAATCTTTAGCGAAATAAGCGTGAGGTATTTAAATTTGTAATTTTCGGAGATATGCAACTTTCAGAAGTTCACGGGTTTTAAGGAAAATCGGACTTAAATATTTTTTATAAGCGCACTGGAGGATAGTATTGAAAAATGTTTCCTTGGTAATGTGTGAAATCGAACCCCCACCTTCAGGTGAATGCACTAATCTCTAGACTACCGAGGCGTTGCATCACTGTGAGATGATAGTTACAATATATCAGAATAAGTGAAGCCTTCCACGATTTTCAGAAATTTAATTTAAAAATACATGAAAACTATTTCAAAATATTGTTCACGGTAAAATTTAAAGATCTAATTTTGATACTTGTCATTAACTAATGAATCTCTAGCATCAATATTGAAAGTATAAAATAAATACCAAAAATGAACTTTCGCTACTTTCATAATTCCATGCGCTACTTTGTACAAGTAATACTATTTTTTTATGTAGTAGCTGATAATTTCATATTTTTCACACACAAAAACGGTGTTTGTCAGAAAAAACTAAATTTGGGAGACTTAACGATAACAAAAGGTAATAAACTCTTTCCACCAATATATTTATTGCTCAAGACATAAAACTGTATTGACGCTGTATTTGATTAGATTCAGACCTGAGGATCGGGTAACTCTCACGGTTGATTGGACTTGATTGGTGCGCGGGTGCTCGCTGGGCCCAATCAGATCGTTGGCGCCGGCGGATACTGGGCGCTTGGTGGGGAGATATTTCCACCCAAAATACCCTCTCGGATTTCGGAGTGAGAGAACTATTCCACAAACGTCTAATACTACAAGTCTGTATTGCGCCGATTCAATACGTATGAGCGATCAACTATACTGCAAGATTAACTCTAAAGAATAGCAACTTTTCATGTTTATAGCGACATGACCGACAAAATCGATTCGCAAGAATTGTTAAATGTGTTTATATTAAAAAATGCAAAGTACAGTGCTATTTTTCGTTGCAAAAATGAACTCTGCTGAAATTTCATAAAATAAATGTGACGGAAAAATGAATGACAAAATGATAAACATGACAATTTGAAAAAAAAAGTGTTTTGTATTTTCATAAACATTTTCGGTGGGACATGGAGGAGTAGCTGACTCGGGTCAACTACCACTCGAACTTGCCACAAGTCGGCGGCCCTGCTGCCGTCAGTTGCTCTCACGCTAGTGACAGAGGACCTCGAAGAAAGTTCTGCCAGCTTAACAAACGTATACCAATGCCATTCCGGTATCGTAGAACACGGAGAGGGGGGGGGACAATATCGGACAACAGAATAAATTTCAATATAATTCAAGGAAAAAGTTACATATTTGAGAATTCCTGTTATACATATTTAGCAATGCATTGAAATAGTTTTCTGCAATTTTGCCTTAAAATACTTTCAGATTTTGAGGTACGACAGTAATAATATTATAAACGTGAATAAACAACAAAGTCGGGTTATTTTCAGTATTTATAATTCAAGAACAATTGGACTAATTTTAATTATCTCTGATGCGTTAGATCCATCTCCGCTCTGGATAGCAGAATAAATATAAAAATATTGGAGAAATTTCACTAGATTGTGTTGTAGAACAAAACTAAATACTTGTGTCAAATGCAATCCGCAAGACTCTCAGTAGAATTTTTTTGAATCTAAATCGTTTAATAACTCCTAAAGGTAGCGTTCTAGAGCATTAAAATATAAAATTTTGAGGTCAAAGGCCTCAAAGAAAAACTCACACCGTGATCATACCGTAATCCACAGGATGAAATCTTCTTGTATATTCTATAACATTTTTGCTGGTACGGCGCTTCTCGATATTACCACCTGCTCAGAGACGTACATAATCTGCAACTAAATGGGCACGAGAGAGAAGGGGAGAGAGAGAGACAGAAAGAGAGAGAGACAGAGAGGGAGACAGACGGTGAGAGATGGAGAGCCAGAGAGAGAGAGACAGGGATGGATAGAGGAAGAGGAAGAGGGAGATGAAGGGCAGAACAACCTCTGCCAGGTTCTGCTAGTTATCTTTATCGCGAAGAAATCGATGGCCACGACTATTTTTTGAATAACTTCTTATACATTATTATTTATGTCCCCAGATATTAAAATGAAATTGTAACATATTAGAGGCAGGACTTGGTGTAAGCAAACGTCGGAGTCTAAAATGTGATTACGCATGTCGACTGTTTTGGATTACTTTGTAAATGTCAGATACGCATTGAAAGTCGAAAATATCGCTTATGGTTAAGAAAGATTCTAATAATAAGTCTTAAACGAAGAAAGAGTAACTTCTTGTTTTCCCGAACTTGCATCACAAGAAGATAAAGTATTACAATCGTGCGACGGAAAACAGACAATTTTTAACAAAAAAACTGTTATTGCCTCGTCCTGGCAATAAAAAAGAGGATAAATCTTGTTCCTATATGTAGTAAATTACCCCTTCAAACACGTTGTGTAGTCAGAATCCTCGTTTTGTGGGTTCTTGTTACCGTAAAATCGATTGACGGCAAAGCACTTGTCCGGTCAAAGCTAGCGTCCAAACTAAGCTATTTTTCTCCAAAATTGGTATTTCTAAATTGATTGAAATGAACTTGATGTCTGGGTTTGAAACTTATATTTTGAATTTGGGGACTACTTTATATAAAACCTCAACACATTTTCATCATTATCTAAAAAATGGCTCCAAATTTCTTATTAAACTTTGTGCTCTGTTAGCTTAGAAACGCTTGAACGTTTAATGCTGAAGTGTAGGTCTCATTTTCCTTTAGGTTGCGTCCGCGTCCGCGGCCGGAGTTAATGTTGGCTGGGCTATCCGAGACGACTCCTTCAGAGCGTACTGCTGACGCTTAGAAAGGACACAATACGCTGGCCGAAACGTTAGCTACCATGACATCGACGCGGCTCGTCCCGGATAGCCCAGCCAACACTCATTTTCCTTTAAATCCTTGAGGTTTCGAAAATTGCAAACGTTCATATGTGTTTCGGCGTCACCTACTCCTACTATACTGAAAATATTTTTTTTCTTAATTAAATCTGTTCTTTAAAGACTTCTTGAAAAACTACCTTGTACAAGTTTTCGAAAATATGAATAGTTTTTACGTAATTTTGCATGAAATATTAGCGATATCATTAAAACAACACACCAAATGTTTTCCTTAAATTTTCATCTCTTATGTATCAAAGGACAGTAAATAAATTCGTGCTACTACAAATTCCGGCAATCTCTATATTTTAAAGAAATTGCAAAATTTGCACGTCAAAACTACAAAATTGATGATAGAGAGTTTTGTCTTAAACAATATGTGTTCTGAAAAATCAGCTCTTAAAAAAAAGTCACGAACAATGTTTTTGAAGAAAGAGTGTTTTGCGTAATGTCTGCTTGAAATCATCCAATTTTTCAAAAGCCCATTTTTCAAAAACCGCTCCAGATTTGTCTTCATATTTGTTCCACAGTCAGAACAAGGCTTGCTTAAAAGAATTGGGAAGCTCTCATTTCCGTTGAACTCTCTGAATTTTCAAAAATTCCAAATTTAGAAATAATGCGAGAAAGTGTGTGATGTAGCACCACTAGTTATCTCAACAAATATTGACAAAAAACATTCTGGGGTCCGTCGTTGATTCCCTCATTACAACGACAGATCTTCAAATAAGGTCATATTTAGTTTCTCGAAAATATGAGTAGGTAGTTTTCGAGTAAATTTGCACAAAATGTAATTTTAATTTTGTTAAACAACTTGTCTTCTAAAACGCTGCCTTTGTGTCATTATATTTTCTCCTCGTATTTAACAACGGACGGTAAAATATGGCGCTGGTTCTATTTTTGGCAAACTCTCCCTATTTTCAAAAATTGCAAAAATGGCGTGTTGGGTTGAGACAATGACATGTTTAAGCGTCGTCCTGAGTTCGAACCGCATAGTGTTTCTATATTGTTGTGTGGTATAGCTGACGGCGAGTTAACTCTGAGGACCTGAGTTAATTTTTGCTCGTGGAAAACACTTTACATGTTTACGTAGTAGTATAATATAGTGAAGCAGTTAGAAATAATGCGAGAAAGTATTGCATTATTTGTTTCTGCAAAAATAAAATCATGGAGTGAGGCTACACATGAAATAATTTTGAAAAACAAATCAAAAACATTCCTCTTGCAAATAGATTACATCTTCATTTTCACACATGATACATATTACATATTACATTACGTGACTTATTTGCACACAAAGTTAAGATGCATTTCACTTTATCGTGATCACTTGGGTTTCCATTAGTATTAGCCCTGATTATCCGACCAAAAATCGGAAATGTCTTAAAAATAGCGTAATAGACTCTTAAAATATAAGTGTATATACAATGACAAAAAATAGATATATCTAAACATTTTACTTATATGATCGAGCGCATGGTAAATTCTATTCACTCAATGCTGACTTTCAGAAAATGAAGATAAAAACAGAACTTTCTAAACATGAAAACAACATAGTGGACACACGTGTGGTGGGATGTATTGTTGAATTTTCCAGAAATTAGGAGGCAAAATGTCGAGTTGGTGAACGGAATTCACAAGCACGCCCGCTTTTAAAAATGAAATTGGGTGCCATTAGCTGTGGAAATTCTTTCATTATGATCAATTCTCTTGGAATAAGACACCATAAAGGAGAGTGCATAAAGCCGTTATTTTCAAGAAAAGTATTTCCGAAAACATTCGTTCAAGAAGAAACCAATTGTGTAGAAATGCTTCTTCTTTAGAAAACGTACACTCAATTTAAATCCAATGTCACATTTTTTCTACCTGTTTCTTTTAGATAGATACGTATTGAAAATATTGTATAAATTAACAGAGAACATAATATTTATTCTTCTTCAGTACGTAATAATCTATTTTCAGCATATCTCTCACCTGAAAAAAACAGGATGTTGCATCCACAGCTGACGTACTGTGTTTTACTATGAAATCACCAGTGCACGTCTTGTTCAACTCAAGAGCTTTACGAATTCGATGCATTGCCTGAAAACATGAGTTTGCATGAGAAGACAAAAAGTGATGAAAGAGCCATTATTCACAATGGGCATAGTCGTCGCTACGTTTCGGGAGCCCCTGTTGAGAGGGCTCAAAGGCGGCCTCCATTTGCAATGCAATTTCTATTACAGATGGCCTCATTTGAGACTTATTGCTTCGGGGTCCCGGTTCTGCGCATCAGTTGCGTCATCGGTACGCCACTTATAACGCTTTATAACAAACGCTAAATAAGTAACGCTTATGACAATAAAAAGTTGTATGGTTGGTGTTACTTATTGCTCATTGGATTTATTTTTCTCAATGCAACTTCTAAATTTTTTTAATGTATCATTGTGATTTTAATACCTTGACCGACTAATTTAATGTCATCTTAAGTAATTTAATATTGGCATTCTGTCTTGAAACTGAGAAAAAATCCCAAAAGCATTCCAATTATAATTCACAAATAAGAGACACTTGAACACTTTTAGAAAATTACTTGTCCTGAATGAAGAAACAGAAGTTTTGAAACAAAAAGGAAGCAAAAATGATAGGTACTGTTAAAGGATATAGAGTAAAATTGAAAAATAAAAGGGAGAAAAATATCTATTTAATAAGTTCATTAATGGGAAAGGGTTTAATGTAAATGCACACAATATTGTAACTCGGAATTAAATATAAAAATAACTAGATTTTCAAAATTATTATAAATAATATTTAATACTTCATAAAAACGTAATATCAAAATTATTTTCTACATGAAAGAAATCATGGAAATTTTCTCTAGTAGATTATGTACAGTGTAATAGTACTTATGTATAAATGGTAATGGAATTTATCATAATTCTCGTAATATTCATTTACATGAAGATGGGCAAACCTTGTATTTAGCTACATCCATCCACTTGTCTACAGCTGGCTCAAACCATTCATAATAGGTATTAATAGCTAATGTTTTTTGATCTTGAGGTGGTAAATTTTCTCTGAAACTAGAAAAATAAAGTTCTTTAAGTTAGAGGTACTACAAATTCCATTAACATGCTTCTAAAACTGCAGAACTACAATAACAGGAGAATAAATGAAGTTAGAAGTACCTACTTGTTTTAACTTCAACTCTAATTCAAGTGTCATTAAAAATATCTTTTCATAATAACTTTTTAAGAACAGTTTTTTCACACATGCTTTATTTATATTTATAACAATGTTATATTCTAAGCTACAGAAATCTTTCACTTACTTCACTAACTCTTGCATTGCAAGGTAGAGTTCAAATATGGATGTAGCAAGCTCTGCTCCTGGAGCCAAAACCAGCTCATCTGTGGGGATTCCGAGCTCTGTATTTTGCATTTGAATGCACAAAGCCGCAACCTGATGACTCAGGTCATTGTGAACCTAAGGGTGCATCCATACATATTAATTTCTAACACATCATCACAACATGGACTGATATTAGCATGAAGCAGCTTGCTTGAGTGGCAGAACTAAGAGCTAGGAGACACATGCAAATGAGAAATGTTATCAACAATAATACTCACAATACAACTTACATTCTTTACAAAGAAAATAAAAACATCAAAATCCCACATAATATAAATTTCATCAGCAAATGAGATGTTACACATGAAAAGCTTTTTGATGACCATCCTGTAACACATCTAAACATTTGAAATATAACACTAGAAGAACATTATGTTTACAAAAGGGAAGTATGATTTCCAAACTTTAAAACCAAAAAAAATTGTTTAACTGAATGGGTTCTTGTATTTAAATACTGATTATATATTTCAATTGTTTTCAATAGCAAATAAAATATTTGTGATAATTGAGATGGACAAATTATTAGCAAAAATTGATTTCTACAGGAAAGTATGAGTCTAAAAAAATACATTCTCTTAAGAATTTCTGTAAAATTTCTATTGAGGAATAATGTCAATTCACATTAAAGAATGTAAAACGTAATTTCAGTAGTCACCACAGTACATTTATGGCAGAAAACATTTTATTTATAAAGAGTGCATTTTTGAAATGAGTTACTATACAGCAAGCAAGAAGAAAATTTGATTCTTTAAGCTTTCTTCCTTGCTTTTCAGTACATATCCATTTGCAATACAATTTACCAAACCTCAGTTCCCAACCACAATAAATGTTGCTTTCTTATTGAAGATTATTTAAGAAGAGTCAGGTAGCATCTAGGAGATCGTCAATAACTAGTGAAGTGTCTGCAAAAGGGTGAAAGTGGGTGGCGATTTGAAAGGTGTTTCTATGAAATCAAGCATGAGTTTGTGTCACTTTAACCTAGCAATAAAATTTAGATCGAAAACAGGACTATGGTACTGTAATGTTTCGAGAACACAAAGTAAAATTAAAAGAAATGCGATTTTGCTAATAATTTTCCAGTTTTGTAATCAATGGAATTAAAAAATTAAGTATTTGACATTTTAAAAATAAATTTGTATAATTTGAAGTAAAACGCATAAAAAACTGATTGCTTCATTTTAGATAATAAATAAAGAAGTTTCACTGATAAAAAATACATTATCACATGGAAATAAATATATGGTAAAGAATATGGTCATGTTAAGCAGATAATGCAGATATATTTACAGCATTCAAAAGTCGTTTTTTCTATTGAATAGAAATCTAAAACACCAGCATACCCAAGGATGGCTTCAGACTTTTTTTACGGATTTGGAACAGCAAGTCCCTTTGAAATAAAGGAAGCAGTTTTTTATTTAAATAATTTATAAATGGAAATATTTATACCACGTAATTGTTCCTTTAAATGGTATTTTTTTAATTTTCTACAATTTGAAAATGATTGAAAGTATATTTTTATAAATATTGGCTGTTTTACTACAATCACAGAAGTACTCTTTGTTACACATTCCATGGACAAAGAAAAAATCCCCGTTTTTTTGCCACAAAATTACATAACTTTATCTGTACTAGGTATATTACTCCGTATCTGTAATACATGAGAAAGAAAAAAATGTAGTAAATTGTAGGAAAGTGTAAAAGGAAGGAAATTATTTTTTATTTATGTAATAAAAAACAAAGCATTTATAATCATTTATAAACTTTTATAAATAACCAACCTTTAATGAGTATGTTCACCTTCTTGAATTTTACACTTCAAAATACACTTACTTCTATTACTTCCCAACAATTTTTCAGGAATTGAAAGTCCCTCTCAATCGATCGACGTATACAAAAACTAGAGTTTACAAAAGCACAGAACACAAGATCAACGCGATGTGTTATTTTATGTCCACAGAAATACATACATGGTGCGCTTAGAAAGAAAAGGGCTACGAGTTCTAAAGGCGCTCAGTAAAAGTACATTCGCTGGTACGTAAATAAGAGCGGCATTGGAAATGAAGTGAACTTTTTTCTTGCTTTCGTTATGTAAGGTTGCATCAACATCTAGATCATTAGCGACCACTATTGCATTTAACGGTATGGTAACTGTGAAGATGACATGATATGATATTGACAGGGGGTGAAAGAACAAACGCAAATACAACCATGCCCGAGGCGGGCCTTGAACCCGCGATCCTTCGGTCAGAGATCGTTACAGCACTACTGCCTTAACGATCTCGGCCATCCGGACCGGGGACGTGTGCTCTTGTTCAATTGCGTCCAGTAGCGAGGCGTGGCATATTTGCGTAGTCATCGCAAGATTTGCCGAATATCCGGCCCTATCTTTCTGAAGCGACTGGGAGATGGAGTAGTCGAAATATTTTTCGTAGGCTGCTTCGCTTTTTAAACACTAAAACAACGCTAATTGTCTGGTATTATTTCTCCACATTCGTTTCATTAAATCTTGCAAAGAACTTGCCCTACTTTTCGAGTTACATATAGTGAATGTATATATGTGCGCGCTGCAAGCAACACAGACTTGATTTCATTCTCCATAGCACTGTAACTTATGATGACGTCACTGGTCTAATCGCAAGATTTGGATATGTTAAAGAGAGCTCTTTTAAAGGCAGATAACGGCTGTACTTACTAGAGCCTTCAGGCGCCACATACTTCCAATTAATTCGTATGCAAGCCAATAGAGTCCAGCACACATCAGTGCCTGTGGCAATATCCTGCAGCTAGTGACACAATTCCGATTTCAGCAAGTAATGTTTCGTCGTTTCGGCGGTTTTAGTGCTAGAGTTAGATTTCTGTGTTAATAAGAAGTTCAAGGTGTGCTTCAAGTGACTGTGTAATAGAAACTTGGGAGGCTCCAGTTGGATCGGTCTAGTTACGCCACTGGCTGTAGGTGCGAGTCTCGCTTGGGCGTGGGCGCTTCCTGCTGAGCACGCAGCGTTTCTCCTTCGGAAGCGGACAGTGTCATGCGGGCCGGGAGATATGGCCCACTGTGGCACTTGCGCATCGTATCAGGCTTCAACCAATGAGCTTCAGATACCAGTTTGCGTCATAATATTAGCGGGAATTTTAAATGCAGCCAGATCCCAAGATCGCATCGTTACAAGTCATTGGAACAGATGTACGAAGCATTTCTTTTAAATATTGCATCCTGTACACCTTCGTGATATTTTTTTGGTTGGTTTTGAAAATTGTCACTTTGCGCCACTTTCAAAATGTTTCTCAACGCGTCTCGCTCCCCGTGCAACGAGGTGGCAGCGCCTGCAAACGAAGTGCCCGTTGCTCTGGCCATCTGGTTGGAGACGCACGCCGGTGGTGCGCAGAGCGAGCAAACACCTCCACCGCGCCGTCTGGAGTGGGCTTCCGGGGCAGCCACACGAGCAGGCATGGCGGAAAGTCCCGGGTGAGTTCTTCCCCCGGCCACCGATTTCCACCGGGCTCGTACTGCGCACCACCGGTTTGCGCCAGGATCAAGCAGATAATGCAGAGATATTTACAGCATTCAAAAGTAATTAGATGATAAATGCAAAACATTTCAAATAAATTAAATACTCAAAGAATGTACTTATGATATGCCTGAAACTTGTAATTAAAATGCAATTTAAAGTCTGAAAACTGTAAAACAGACATTGCATTGTCCTTGAAGCTTGCTATGTCCAGCTGCATGGCAGAGTTGTATTTGTACAGCGTTGATGCTCTGTTCTGCAATTTCCTGTGCAAGGGGCCGAACTTGGTGTTACGGGGGAGCGAACTCTTTACTTTGATAAGTCATCAGACTCCAGGGAACGTTGCCATGCTTGTAGAAGAGTAAGAGATAAAACAACAAGGAGATGGTGCTTGAAATGAAATAAAAGGAATGTTTGGAGAGCAGATGAAAGACATTTGTGTAACATGCGTGTAATCAGTCTCGTGGTCTGGAAAAATGTGCGTTATATTAAGCGGAATGCTGCAATCAATTGAAACCATGAGCTGTAATTAACATTTTATCGAATAAATGAAAGCTCAATTTCTTAAAAATGATTTCTTCTTTTTTAAGGGCATTTTAATATGTGGTTGACACATGTCCCCTACGCGCCTAAATGCAACATAAACCCATACGCCCATCCTTCTTGCTCCCCATACAGCTTCGCGACTGTTCAACCGCGCTGTGGCCACGTGGTTCGTGACGCACGCCGGCGCTGCGCAGAGCGAGCCCCCCCCCCCATCTCTTTCCGCCATGAAAATAACGGGAGTGAAACGATATTATTTTGAACGTACAAACGGAAGTTGCAGCGTGGATGTTGCTCCCACGTAACCGCGATCATTTATTATTTGGCATACGTTCGTTACTTGACGAAAATTGTTAAACCGTCAAAAATTTTGAATAGCCTTTGAATAAACGAACGCGAAATACCAGTTATTGTAGAATACATTATCTTTTATTGTATACATATTAATGATTAATAAATCTACTACTGAGTAATTTGATTTATATTAAAACATGACTGATTAAGATATCGAAAATCGAATAATATGATTTATATTGGAAACAATACACAAATCTAAAAGCAAAGAAAAAGTTTTGATGATTTTATTTAAATAATATAAATAATTTCCACATGAAAACAAAGATTTGTCAGCAAAAAGTTGTAAATCATGCTGGTAGGTAAAACTTTTCAATAACGGAAGAACAAATTATTCAATACACAAATTTAAAAGCAAAAAAGTTTTGATGATTTTATGTCGATAATATAAATAATTTCAACATAAAACCAAACATTTTCAGCAAAAAGTAAATCATGCTGGTAGGTGCAACTTTTCAATAACAAATTGTTTAAACATTGGTGAAAAACATTTTCCAATTACAGTTCGGTACGAATTTCACATTTTTAAGTACATTTTTAATATTTGTTTTATTTTTTTACTATCGCCCACATTGTTTAATAACAGGAAATCTTCTAGATGGTATGAAACACATTCTAGGCGGGGGGAAACCTGAGACAGTACTTCAGTACTTAATTTCATTTTTTTCTAGTTGAATTTGGCGCCAAAATTGGTTGACAAAAGTACCTTCAAATTCAACTATTTTTTCTCACCTCGGCAATTCTTTGCAGCCTGATACATGCAAAAGAAGCTGAAAAAACACGTTTCTTGCTGTATCTCTGCAACCGATTGCCCTAGGAGGCCGCTTTTTGGGAATCTTCGGCCCTTTTTATTCTCTTTCATATGAGCGTGGAGATTATTAATTTTTTAGGAGCACTTTTCATCACCTTATTTAGCTATATCCTTCATTGTCGATATTAGAAGCAATACCACCTAGCACAATACTCTCAAGACAACATGGAATAATTCTAACTTTCACCGGTCACAAACGGTCGAGTATTTTTAGCTCTACATGAGAATAAACATACAAGACACCAAGAAAAACATATTCACCTTTTTTGAGTCCGTGTAGTCGGGTAAAAGCGTAAATGTGTAAAAGCGGGGATAGTTCTACATTATTAACATACGGATTTGACTAGATTAAAAAAATTGACTTAAAGACGGGAAAAAACGTAAATTCTGGGATTATGAAAGCGAGGTTTTGCTGAAATTTTATTTTAATATTTAAAAAATACTTTAATTGTATTTATTATTAAAGAAATTTACAAGATATATGACTGTTGAAAGATATTTATAATTATTTAAATATGCATTTTAATCCTGTGCCACAAAAGGGTTCATTTCCCTAAGGCACTCCTCTGAAGCCGCCTATGAGCACACACAATGTTTTAGACTCAATCTGAAATGTGTGTAGACATGTAATCATATGAGTTCCTACATGTCATTTCTGTCTTTGGCTCAATAAAATCAATAGCTTGCAACAGGAATTCAATTGTGAGCTTCATTGTCATTAGTGTAGGCCCTATTTGTAACTGGAAAGCTCATTTAAGCAGCATGCAACACATTGCAAATAAATTAAATACTCAAAGAATGTACTTATGATGAATGTACATGCCTGAAACTTGTAATTAAAAATGCAATTTAAAGCCTGAAAACTGTGAAACAGACATTGCATTGTCCTTGAAGCTTGCTATGTCCAGCTGCAGGCAGAGTCAAAGGCCAATAATTAGGCAACGAAGAAGAAGTGCATGCACAGACGTGTTTTACACAAGAAAGCATACATATCTGCTTTCTCCCATTCAAAAACGCATTTTCACTGCAAATCAATGCATTGGAGTTATATTAAAGATGAAACTATGTATTCTGTGTTTAATCTTCTAAATCACTCATTCAGCAAAGTGCAATTGTGCGGTATGCATCAAGACAAGCTGAAATAATAAGCAAGGCATTTACAAAATCAATATTTGAAATTGTTAAGGTTTTTTTAAACAGTGGTTTTTCATTGAGGTAATTTATAAATAACAAAAATATTCGAGATGCATTGGAAATAGAGCGTGTCAAATGAATGTCTAGTGAAAATATCTGCAAGAACAATTCTATTTCTCATAAAAATTAAATTTTAACTTCATAAAGGAAAACATTATTCCCGTTCAGATATGGCAGAAACTAATTTTGTTTCCTACAAATTAAGGTATGAAATTAAGTTAATTAGTTTTACTTAAATTAACTTGCATTATGAAAATGAAATTAGTTCTCAATTTTTAACATTTTAGAACTCACAAACCCTCTCATAAAACCACTGGTTATCCTATGTATGTAAATATGTTGGTGTGGAATGCTCTATCTAAGCTAAGTGATACAAGCAGTTGGTAGCGTGCCTGCCTGCAAGTGGGCATCGAGCAATTTGGTACCTCCAGAACTTCCAGCTCTTTGCCCACATCCTCCGCCAACTGAGAACATACAAGAGCGTATTTATCGGTCAAAATCTCATCTGCTGTGCATTCTCACTGCCTTTCTGAGGAGAAATATCGTGATTAGAAAACAAGAACAATAATTAAGTTAAAATACATTGGCGTGTTTGAATTACATAAAAAATAAAAATGCATTTTTCCAAATTTTCACTTGAAGACTCTGACTAAAGTTATAAAAACACATTACCATGCAACATATTACCTGTGCAATAGGTTTAGAAACAAATGCCAATATAAACATTAAACATGCTTTATAACAGACGAAACGTCAGAATATGTCAAAGGAAACTTTGGTAGATAAAACAGTTTCACTAATTGAAAGAGAATGACAATGATATATTTCGTTTAATTATTTACCTGACTAGAAGAATTCTTTAAGTTAAGAAAGGAAGTACATTTTATATAGCAAAAGTTATAACTTTTAGTATATTCTTGATTTAATATTTTCTGCTGCAAATAAAAACCAGTATATTCGAAGACATTTTAGTAAATTTTTCTGTTGTTTTATTTGATTTACTTTATTTTTGTCAAAGAACAGTAAAACTAAGCAACACATGTAAGAGAAGTATAATGCTTTACTACAAATGACAATGGATCAGTCAGCTAGCAATAGGGTCAGTCAGTCAATCTGCTAATTTAATGAAGTAATGTTAGAGTGGTAGTGCTAGGTAGTAAGTGAAATGATAAATATGGACACATTCTTGAATTTATCTTGTACTATATTGAATTTTATTTGTAGGTTTACTGTTAAGTGCACTTGTTCTATAATGTCACAACTGTCCTAACTTTCACCTTCATATTTCCAAAAGGAAGGAATCTCTCTCTTTACAACCATTGTCATACCTATTGTGAAAGAATACTTTTTTATGACAAATTAAATACTACTAAATAAACAAAATGTGCAAAACATGAGTACATCAATGTACCATATTATACTTTCGTATATTATTTTGAGAGAGCTGTAGGTACAAAACATCTAATATTCTTAATCAGTGGGGTACAAATCACAACCATCTTCATCAGTGGGGCTAAATACCAGTAAGATAATACTTTGTAAAATGTTAGTATTAAAGGGGTCAGGGCAACATTAAAATAACCTTAATTTTTTTTAAATTTGAAGCCAGAGGGAACACAAAGTCACATGGAAATTCAGACATTTCTCAGTTTTGTGTTTATATACACAAAATGTAGTGAACTTACTTAAAATATGTTTGGAGGACTATTCCACTCATGAAATCAAAACCAATAGTGTTTAACTGTCCTTACAAAGTGCCCCAATCAGGGCAATGTATCTGAGAAAGTTGATCCCTTTTTCTTCCCGCTTCTCCCTGCTGGCCACTCTACGCCGCGACGCCTCTGTGCTTGGAGGCGGCGCGCGTCGAGTGCCGCGTGCGAGCTCTAACAGGGTTGGCCAACTGACGACCCGCTGCCATTTATTGTGGCCCGCAAAGGGTTTTTAGTCCAAAGTCAAAGTCCATTGCATCCGTATCGAGCGAAAACCTCAGTGCAAAAATGGATTCGTTTTACATTCTCTCGCGAGTCGGGGATTCATCGACAATTTTCAAAATCGTGGTATTACCTCCGATGTTTCTTTTCTGAGAAAAATCTGCTTCATTTTGGATGGATGAAATGAGGGTCATCATTATGTGGCTTCAATGCTTAAAGTAACTTAATAGCAACTGAGGAGTAGATCACCATAAGAGTAGATTTTCATTGTCACAGATTGCTATTAGGAGAGCCGAGTCACTTTTTTCCTGATGGTTCCCCTCCTGTGTGCTCTGCTGTAAAATTTTAATCTTTAACTAACTACTAATTACCTAAAATTTGTCAATTTTCTGATATATTCATTTTGGAATCCATGGAAATTATAGTAATTATTTCCCCAATATAATTATGATAACTATGATTAAAGTAGTGTGAACAGAAGAAATAACGCGAACCTGCTCTAAGCGGCCACCAATGATTCCGACATATTGACCTTTATAGAGGTGGCCACTAAATGAACGTTAAAAAGCTACTAGAAGCGTAAATCAAATTGAATTGGGCTAACTGCTATGGAAGGAGTAGGTCTCCGTTAACATTTTAGTTACCATAAATGACAAAAGTACAATTTAAATAGGTTATTTACACAATGTGATCAAAAGTATTCGGACACTTCCAAATGGTGTTATGGTGTGGTCGTGTTTATCATGGAGGGATCTTGAATAGCTTGTTTTGTGTTGCACTACCACGACACAGACCTACGTTGACCTTTTAAACACCTTCTTGCTTCCCACTGTTGAAGAGCAATTCGGGGATTGCGATTGCATCTTTCAACACTATCAAGATCAAGTCGGGGCAGAGGAGGCGACCGAGACGGTCACGAATTCGCGAGCTCGAGCGATGCCACCCCGGACCGCACGCTCGACCAGGCAGAGGAGACAGCCATCACCGGAGGCAACACACAGATCGACATCCTCTGGGCAACATACGACGAGCAGCTGCCAGACGACGCTCGACGGCTTCGCCTCCCCGTCGCGGGCGACCATGACGGAGCCGCCGAGCGCCTCCCAACAGGCTCAGTTAATAGCGGACACCATCAACGCCCTCTTGCGCACGGCGCAAAGCCAACCACCGCGTGAGGAGGCCAAATTTGACCTTTTTCGCGCTTGGGACTGGGTGTCGACGCAAGCCGACAACCCGGCTATTCCCAAGCGCGATCAAGTGGAGGCGCGCCTCCTCACCATCATGCGTCCCCTGTTCGACGAAATGTCGGACGGGGACCAATGTTTCGTGCGCGAGAGGGTGCGGCTGCTCGTCATCGCCATCCGCCACGGATGGCGCGTGGCGGCGGCGAATGCCACAGAATGTGATACCTTCGGCATAACCGTACATCATCCGCCGCCGCCGCCACGCGCCCCGCCTCCTCGCCCATCGAGGCCGCCCCGCGGGAGGCCCTTTCAGCGGGGCCGCAACCGCGCGCCACCGGCGGCGGCGGCCTCGACTCAACCGTAACGGGACTTCTCGACCGTTACACAAGATGGCGACACATCAGTGGCTGACTGCGCCGGCGTTCACAGCCGCCCTCACCGCCGTATCGCCACCACACCCCCTAGTGGATTACGGGGACTTGTTAAGTATTTTCGACAGCCTCCAGCCGCCCGACCCGGAGCCGCAGGAAATACCAATTGACTGGAATTTCTGGCGGCCGGTCATAGAGGCGCTCAGCGCCACTCAGTCAACAAACTCCATTCGCGACACCCCGGAACAACTCAATGAAGAGGACGGATCCATCGCACCACCATTTGTGCGCCGTCGCGCCCCCTTGCGCAAAGTGGCACCCATTGTTTTTCAGCAGCGTGCCACACCGGCGGTCGAACATTCGCTGTTCATGGAAGGCATCAGGCATTTCCCCCCTTCCACAGCACCTATCGCAATCCGCCCCACCAGTACGCGGTTGCGGAAAACTGTGGACAATATGCAACAGGCAGGCATTCTTCGCCCGGCGCAGCCTCAAGAAGTCGTCAACGCTTTTCCCCTGGGCGTCGTCCCCAAAAGCGGCGGGACATTTCGTGTTATCTACAATATGTCGACATGGACGGCACATTACCAGCCGCCACCGGTGCGGCTTCCTTCGCCACTACAAGTGATCTCTGCTGTGCAACGTTTCACATGGGCAATTAAACTGGACCTCAAGGATGGGTTTTACCATATCCCATTAAGCCCACAGTGCCAAAAGTATTTCGGGGTGGCGATTCGTGGCCGCCGCTGGACATTCACCTGTTTGCCTATGGGGTGGTCCCTTGCACCACTCCTTATGCAAACGGGTATGCGCGCGGCCATGAATCGCCTCTGCCAGTCGCAGTTCTTTGTGTATTACGATGATATTCTTTTGTGCAACAATGACCCGCAAATTCTTCTGCAAGACTATCAAAGAATTTGCCAGGCCGGTTTCCAAATTAATAGAAACAAAAGTGTCGTTATACCCACGCACAAACTGATATATCTGGGCGTATGTTTAGATCTAGTTAATAAAACGGTTAGCGCTCAAAAAGGGTACGTGCAGCAAGTAAAACAAGTGCCACAATTTTTGCTGAGTAGTTACCGATTCCGCCTGGCTCTCGCGGGCATGATAGGTTGGCTGTCCATAGCGGCAACCGCGACCTATCCGCTCGCCAGGCTGACCATGTTGGATCCCACGCGCGCACTCCCGTGGATAAGACGTCTCCAGCCCCGCGATCGCGGGCCCCAGGAAGACTTCATCCACGATATTGTCTTCTACTGTGACGCCAGCGCCAGCGCGTGTGCTTTCTGTGACGAAACTCAAACCGTGATCTGGACATGGACATCCACAGTAGCCCTCAACATTTTCGAGGCAGAGCTCGAAGCAGCTCTTATTTGTTTATTGTTCTCTCTAATGTATTACCCTAATTGTAAGGTTCTTTTATTTTGCGACAACTCGGCGGTCGTGGCGAACCTGCACCGCCGAGTCGCGCATACTGATTGTTCACTATTGTTGTGCATTGCACATTGTGTATTTCTTTTCGTGCAGTTTGAATGTAAATGGATAACTTCAATAAAGAATAAAGCTGACCTCTGGTCGCGCCTGCCTCCGGCGGATCACGCTACCCCTGGCCAATCAGGAGCCGCCGTTGCGCGTCACCCCGCAACGACGGTTCCTGGCAACGGGCGGTAGCGCGATCAGTCGGGGCAGAGGAGGCGACCGAGACGGTCACAAGAAAAGTCATGCCAATACTGCCATCAAGGCTAAGGGTGGGCCAATACCCTGTTGAATTCCAGCAATACCGATGGAGAGCACCACGAACTGGTAAGTCATTTTTAGCCTCGTTTCCGGATACTTTCGATCACATAGTGTAAGTTAATTTGCCATCCTAATCTAATCGATTAAGCAAAGTAGTCTTAAATATACAATTTTTTTTTCTGTAGAAACTTTACTGAAAGTCGTGATATCGCATTCGCTCCCGCTATGTGTTCCACGAGCACTTAACAGACTTCCGCTAAAGGAAAGCACGAGTTAGCAAACAATAGGAATGGCGTGAAATGAGCGAAGTGAATGCGTTATTCTTTAATTAAAAGATATTTATTGCAATGTTGTTACGTGAAACACAAATAAATCACCCTTCGAGATCAACGATTCTAAATGTCACTGTTCGAAGTAATCTGACAACGCATCCCGTGTCAGAAAGATATTAAATCAACAGTAATCTCCATCACTTTTCGGTCTCAAGTTACAACACAACTTCAAATGGTGAGCGCTTATCAAGCACACTAAGCCATTAAATCAATTTAAAAATGTGCATAGTCACTGATCGCTTAGTGAGGTGACCGCGAAAGATACGGAATGTTTACACGAGTAAAATGGAAAAGCCAATCGGTTCCACACTAAATGACCGTTGGTGACTTCTTAACCATGGTTGGTTGTTTGAACAGGGTTTAATGTATTAAAAATGGCGGCCTGTAGAGATCAGGGCCTAGGGTCCGAGTAAATTTAAAATGGCTAAGTTTACCACTCTCTTTTTGCCAAGAAATTATGTGCCCCAATCCATAGTTTTTACCATTTTAAAAATTAAATTAAATTTAGCACATACCATTTTCTCCAGCTGCTTGTAAACAGTACTGAAGTAAGGGACACCATTTGTGCTGAAAGTAAAACAATTTGAACAATAATGTTAAATCAGAATGTTTATCGTTCTCAACGTGTATTATACTTTAAATGGTATTTTAAGAATTTTTTACTATTTAAAATGTGATGCTATAATATTTACCTCTCAAATAAAATATTGTAATAATCCAATCCTTTTTGAAGATCCACTATAAGCAGAATAATTAAGTGAATTAAAGAATGAATTATTTGTTCTTGATTCCTTGACACTGGTTGATGGTAACTGTGAATTTCTTCATACCTAATAAAATAAATAAATGCCAATTATTTTGTGCGGTAGAACAAATACGGGTGTAAACGATGACACCAGCTGTTGGCCTGCCCATTTATCAGCGGCGAGGCGTGACATTTCAGCCTGGTAATCGCTAGATTTGCCAGTATCGAGGTCTTTATTTCTGAAGCGACGGGGGGGGGAGGGAGTTATGATATCGTAGAGCGTTTTTTTATGGTTAGAAATGCCTCTTTTTCTGGTGATTTTTGTTCTTTCATTTTTTAAAAATAAATCTCTTAGACTCCCTTAAGACAATATTGAAATGCTTTCAAAATCTTGGTGTGACGTCAAAACTGAAACTCAATCGAGACGATGTATATGAAATGAAATAATTATTTTAATATTCTTCTGGTTTTCGGTTATCATTATAGTGATTATTGTTCTGCAAGGGGGCTCACCTTCCCGGCATACAAGTCGAAACGGGCTCAACAGTCGACTGGGCAGTCGCTGCCGTTTCACCGCGCGCGCATCAAAAGGATCATTATTCCAAGCAATCACGCGCCCAACTCGCCGCCCACAAGTCGAGATGCTGGCCGAGAACCACGCGCTTGGAAGTTGCGAACCCGACGCCACCCCGCTGCTGCTGGCTTACACGCATTGTGTTGCCCAGCCACCTTCGCGTAACACAGCCAAACTGTGCGGCGAACCCTCGCCGAGGCATCGGAGACGTTCGCGACCGTTCTGCTGCGCTTGTATAAACTATATATCATTGAAGTTTCAAAACCAGATGCACATACCGACCGCCAAGAACATGATCCACACACAGATTCACATATTCAATTTCCCAATAAGCTTATTAGATTGTAACTGTCGATACAGATATTTTTGTGACGTCTGGTACACATTCAGTGTTTTTAGGCCACGTACAAACTATGTACAATGTACATGTATTATTTCTTGGATATGAAATAGAAAACAACCTTTATGAATATGCATTTATCATCAGAGTAGGTTTAAACCTAAGATTGCTGGCCTTAGTAATTAATTTCAATGATTTTTGAAGGAACAAATACACACTTTCCTGAAAAACTAATACGGAGGAAATACTAATTTTAAATATTTGAGACGTCATTAGCATTATATTAAGGTATTATATACAATGAAGAGCCAAAAAACTGGGACATCTACCTAATGTCGTGTAGGGCCTCCGCGAGCACGCAAAGTGCCGTAACACGACGTGGCACGGACTCGACTAGTGTCTAAAGTACTACTGGAGGTAATTGACAACATGGATCTTGCAGGGCTGTCCATAAACTTCAAAAAGAGTAAGAGGGGATGGAGATCTCTTCTGAACAGCACGTTGCAAGGCATCCCAGATACGCTTAATAATGTTCATGTCTGGTGGCCAGTGGAAGTGTTTAAATTCAGAAGAGTGTTCCTGGAGCCTCTCTGTAGTGTAATTTTGGACGTGTGGGCTGTGGCACTGTCCCGCTGTAAGTGCCCAAGTCCGTCGGGATGCACAATGGGCACGAATGGATGGAGGTGATCAGACGTACTTGCCGCCTGTCAGAATCGTACCTAGACGAATGAGGGGTCGCATATCACCCAACTGCACTCGGCGCGTGCCATCTCTAGACCTCCACCAGCTTGAACAGTCCCCTGTTGACAGGAGGTCGCTGAAACGAGACTAGTCAGACCAGGCAACGTGTTTCCGGTCATCAACCAATGTCGGCGTTGTCGGGCTCACTCAAAGAGTAAAGCTTTGCATCGTCCAGTCATCAAGGGTACATGATTAGGCCTTCGGCTCCGAATCCCAATATCGATAGTGTCTCGTTGAATGGTTAGCACGCTGACACTTGCTGATGGCCCAGCATTGAAAATTACAGCAATTTGCGGAAGGGTTGCACTTCTGTCAAGTGTAACAATTCTCCTGAGTCGTCGTCAATCCCGTTTTGCACGATCTTTTTGAGACCGAAGTGATGTCGGAGGGTTGATGTGATATTCACGGTACACGCGTGAAATGGTCATACAGGAAAATCCAAATTTCATCGCGACCTCGGAGATGCTTATGCCCTATCTCTCTTGCGCCTGCTATAGCACCACGCTCTCGCTTAAATCATGATAACCTACCATTGTACCAGCCGTAACCGATCTAACCAGCCAAATTCTGGTTGTCTTCTATGGTCGTTTCCGACCGGAGCGCCGTATCCTGATTGGTTCCAAATCTCTTTATTTCAACACACATTTCTGTACCAGTTTTTTGGCTCTTCAGTGTATTAATAGGCATAATGACACCAATTCAAAGATAAATTAAATATTCATATCCAGCAGTCTATTGTTTGAGCATAAGTAATGCAATGACTTTCTATCTTAGAACGACTGATAAATAATTTATTGAACTGCAAAAGATACTTATCTTTTTTTTTTTTTTTTGACTTGAAATACAAAAAAATTCTCAAGAGTTGTAACTCTATTTAATTGTGGCTTTATAATTACCATTCCAAGGTTCCTTTTTTCAATGCTGAAATTATTTCTCCACGGATTTCTTTATTGAAAGGACAGCACTTCCAAAAGGCCTTCATTCCTGACATGAGTCCAAGGCACCTGCAAATAGTAAAGTGAATTAAAATGAAGTAGTTCTAAATTTATGACTAATTTAGGGCTCATTAGAATGGGAAATGTAGGGACTCATTAGTATTACAATTTAGGGCCTCGATACAAAAAAATAGTTATAGAGTGAAAAATAGCGTTAAGCTCTTTATGAATTTCAGTTTATACACTTTATCTCAGGAAGAAAATAATTATAATTTAAAATACAGAAAATTTGTGTACAAAAAACAGAAATGTTTTTCTAAGAGGGTTACTATAATTTGTAACTGAAATGCACAAATGGAGAAGTGGCATCTTGCAGTTTGACAAAAGAGGAAGATGACCACATAATAACATTTGTCGTAGGAGTCTTTTGCACTACATCCACAATTCATTATAAAAAGAAGATAATATTTTTTATCAATAAATCATTCTGAACATTGACATACCTGAGAAGATATTCTAGTCTGTCCATTGTTATTTTGTAATGTGGTACAAAATACTGTCGGTGTTTTCGCAGAAGTTGTAATGCATAATCTATAAAAATATTAAAGGATTCTGCCAGACATTCCTCCTAAAAGAAAACAAATGAAAATGTATAAAGTTATTTTCTTTAGTTTTCAATTATTTTTGTAGTTATTTATTCTTTATTACATAGTAATATTAAAGTATCTTAAATCGTTTATTGTGATATACTGCCCAACTTGAGATAAAAACGATGTCCTTTTGGGGCATCAATTTTATATTTAAAAAATCCAAGGAGTGGTACAAAATTATACAATTTTCAGACATTTTCTAGTTCACCAGTTTCAAGATTTACACCTAAGATCCAACGTAAAAAGCAAATTTGTGTTAAATCAACTGGTTTTGAAACTAATGTTAATGGTTAAGACATTATTTATGGAACTATGGGATTAAACTTGGCTACGAAATCTGTCTAAGGAGGTTTTGAAACTCAGGCATGTTAAATATTTTATATGCAAAACTTATTACTTTCTGATAGGACAAATATATCGTGCTTCATTAGTCAGCATCATTATAGAATTTAAAATATCTTGACTACGTTTGTATAGATTATGAATACAGCTGATTTTACAAGTAGAGTTGTGGACTTCAACATTTCTAAAAAGATGAAGTTGAACTAGACAGCTTTGAAGCTAGAGAACTATTCATTTTTTAAATCTTACTGAACAAAAATAATTTCCGTATATTTTGCAACTATATGTTGGTAAAATAAAATTATGGCGCCGAAATGACTTCAATTTTGGTGTCACCACAAAATATTATCGTATTAAATTTGTCACGGCCCGCTGACTATAAGCGATTTTTCAGCTCGTATATAATTTTTCCCTGAGAAAGTTATGTAATACTCCAGCGAAAAACAGCGTGTTTTCGGCAGAAAACGAAAAATAGGATAACTCTTATTCCTATAAGTGGTATATTACTTCCTCTATCACGTTGTGTAGTCAGAATCCACGTTTGTGGGTCTTGATACTGAAAACGTGTTAGCAGCAAAACGTCTTTCATCATTTGTCTATCGTGAAAAACTCTAGCGGCTAAAACGTAAGCAGGAATTTTACAAAAATTGATTTTTTTCAGTCTATCTGACAGATATCGCGGCCTCCCGAATGAGAAAGCGATGCTAAATTTTTGGACATACTTTACATGAAGCATCAAGGACATTTTCAATTTTTTCAAAAATTGCTCCAAATAGTTGATTAATCTTGGTCGTCCGTAAGAACGTTAAAAAACGCTCACGTCATTGTCTTTAAGATTATTACAGAAGAGTAAAATAGTAGAGTAAAAAGAGCAAAATAATAGTAATAGAGTGGACAAATTTTCACTGAAAAATTGGAAACCATTCTTGAGAAAATGTAATTTCTAAAACTGCGCATTTTGAGATCGTTTTTCCAGAGGCGTTTTGATTTTTGGAGAAACTTTATAATAAATAATTTGAAGCACTTACAAATACAATAATGTGTAAAAACGCCCGTACAAAAATGGTTTTTCCTCCTCCGGGTGTCACCGTCAGCGGGACACTTACCCAGCCCTAAGCCCGTAGAAGTCCTAAGCTCTCGGCTGGTTTCCGGAAATGTGTGGTGGTTTGGAACCTGCAAGTGCGCGAGTGTGTGTAGTTTAAGGGGCAGCGAGGCGGCGAGGACGAGGGAAGGATCGCGCGAGGCACGTGAGCCGTGTGGTGGGAAAGAGTTGCGCTCACAGTCGCCACAGTGGGAGCAACTGCTGCGGGGTAACTCAAACTCAGACAGTATAAATTGTAAGAAACTAGTGGTGCTTCAGAATGTCACAGACGTTCTCGTATTATTTTTATATATCCTTTGGTTTCAGCTAGATAATCGAACTTGGACCATACTCTTGCCTGCTGCGTTCTATTGCCGCCCAAAGTAATTGTTTTTTAAATTTTCTAAATTGTTCTGTTTACTAATACTAGAATGGATATACTAAGAATATCAAAGAACAATAAAACCTCGCCCTAAATGGCAATTTTATTTTAAAATGTTGTAGCAATTTTCAAGAAAATGGCGCTTAACGCTACAGTACATTCAAAATTTGAAGCTCTTTTTCACAGAAAAGTTCTGAGTTTTCGAAATATTTCATTTGAAATCGTTTTAAGTACTTTAACTTACAAATACAATAGTGTTCTCAAATTACTGGAAATGTGCATAACAACGGTCTCAGAGACCTTTCAAAAAATTTACATTTTTACCTCATACTAAAGAGTGTTGTTACCAATATCCGTTTGCAATGTTTGAAGAAAAAATTGGACACATTTTTGAGAAAATGTCGTTTGAGAGTTTTTGAAAATTCGAAATTTTCAGCTAGTTTTCACAGGAAGCGGCAAAGTTTTTGAGAAACTTTATATATTATTTACAGCACATGTACTCATAAGTACAGTAATGTGAACAAGTTGACGCTAATATAAATATTAACGACATGAGAGAAATAAAAATAATACATTTTTGTAATTAAAAAGCAAAAAAATATAGCAATGTGGCGATAACGTCATCTTATAGACTATATTTAGCACTATCCCTGTCAAAAGTCTAAAGAAAACATTTCTAGCTGTTTTTAAGAAATTTTTGTGTTTGTAATTTTTAGTATTGCATATATTGCTCGAAGACTACTAAAATTAAAAAAAAATGTACATGACCTTAGTGAAAGAAAATACTATGGACAACAAATTTTATTTGAAGGAAAAATCTGTATCTTTAATTTTTTAGTTGTAGGAAGAAATAGAAAAAAAGCATACTTTTGAAATGTTAGAAAATTCAGAGTTAACCGGGAAAATCTGACCTATGTCACGTGTATGTTACTTTATTCTTACAAGAAATTTAAGGGGAAAAAATGAAGAAGTTATTGAGAAAATTTTGAAAATATCCAGAGGGCATCATGTGAAGTACCCCCACATTTTGAAGAATGTTTTTCAAAATCTCAAAGTTTCTTCTCGAGCCAGATGGAGAGAGCTCTTTTCAATTCGGAAAAAAAATCCTACGCATGATTTAGGCGCTGGTAGTGTTCACAGGCACCAGACGGACAGACGGGCGTTTTGAAACAAGAAAACAGCACTTTTTCAGTATTAGGGGAACCCCCCACAACGCGTATTTCCGTCGCAATGTCGAAAACGATTTTCCCTAACTGCATACGGGAAAGCAGAGAAGGCACCTCGTCGCGCGCCAGCATCTCGGTGGTCCAGAGGTGGTCGAGCTCCTGCAGCAGGCGCAGCAGCACAGCCGAGTGCAGCGGGCGGCGCGCGGCGTGACGCGCGTACGCCACCCAGCGCACCATGGCCAGGCGCAGCTCCGTCATGTCGCCCTGGATGGCATGCTGGTGGAGAATGGTGAGCGCCACGTGCGGCAGCTGGCCGTCCCACTCCCACGACGCGCCCTGCCGCAATCGCCACGTGCAAGCCAGCAGGCCAAAGTATACTACGCGGCTTGTGCAGTCAAAGCAGCGCCCTCTGGCAAACAAAGTATTCTAGAGCGATGTTTGTCGCTGGTTACGGACGGTTACACCGCCACTCGTATGTCTTGACTTAAAAAAAAACATGGCGTCCACTAGTTCGGCGAGCCTCCGCCAAGAGCGCTCAAACTATGGGGACAATGACTCTATGAAGTGTATTCTAGCTCATTGGAATGGGCGGCGTGGAACTGGGCGGAGATCCGCGGGGAAGGGTAGGATACGCGTGGTGCATTTGGCGTGGAGAAACAGTGGCGTGGCGTAGGTTAGCGGACGCGAAGAAAAGGTGAGTTGGGGGGAAGGGGAGAGATGTGTGCACAGCGTGGCGGAGTGCGGAGAGAGTGGCGGGGAGCGAAGAGCAGGTTGAGGAGTGGACTGGGTGGCGGGGAGTAGAGCGTAGCAGAAAGTGTTGCTGGGAGCTAAGAACTTGGCGGAGAGAAGAGTGGAGGGCACGGAGGGGAGCGCAGCGGAAGGCGTAGCGGGGACAAGGCGGGGAGTCGAGAGCGCAACGCAAACAAGTGCGCGGCGGAGAGTGGAGCGTGCAGCGGGGAAGAGAGAGGTTAGCGCTGACAGCATAGAGAGCAGTGGAGCGCACGGCGGAAAACGAAAAGCAATGGCAGTGAGAGGGGACCCTGGCAGAGGGGAGAGAGCGCGAAAGGAAATGGAGACCTAAGCGGGGAGACGAGAGCGTGGAGGGGAGATTTAAAACTTCTGCAACGCAGATCATTCTGCTGTCAGTAAAGGCCCATTCATAATGCAAATATAATCATGACTTTTAAGCTAAAGTTAGGACTAGGTCCATTAGCGGACTCACACACAATGCGTTCGCATAAGCATAACACGTAAGATGTCAAGTTAAAAGCTTGCAAGCTGTGATTATGCTTAAATAAAACAAGAAATGAACCAACGTTACTCAAACCATACGTCAAGTCAAAATCGAGTATCGAAATAGGTTCGAAGTCGATAGACGACCCAACGCCATGTACTCAATTGTCAAGCCGAGGGAAACGCACCCCGAAGCGCGCCAGCTCGTGCTCGATGAAGACGGCGTGCAGCTGCTCCTGCTGGCGCAGCTCGCCGCCGCTGTCCTCCTCGGAGTTGCCGCGGTCCTCGCGCGTCGACAGCCACAGCTTGAGGCGCAGCCGGCCCTGGATGTTGGAGCGCTGCGTGCGCGCCTCCAGCTTGTACCAGCGCTCCAGCCCCGTCGACGGGATCTCCTGCAGCGGGATGTTGACGCAGCCCAGGAAGTCGTCCTGGCTGCCCGAGCGCGCGCTCTGCGCGATCTGCTTGAAGAAGCGGCCCAGCCCCTTCACGCCGCGCACCTCGTTCAGCTTGCTCACCGCGTCGAACACCGACGACTCGTCGTCGTGGTCCCTGCGCATGGGCACGCGCACGCCGCACCCCGCCTTCTTGCTTATTTACTTACTTTACTTATTTACTTACTTAATTTAATTATTTATTTATTTATTTATTTATTTATTTAATTATTTATTTATTTATTTAATTATTTATTTAGTTAATTATTTATTTATTTATTTATTTATTTATTTATTTATTTATTTATTTATTTATTTATTTATTGTTAAACAGATAAACTGTCAGACCTTCCCCAGCAAACGACGCCTCCATGGCCCGACAGGTTGACGATGCTCGACGCTCTCCAAGAGACGCGTTTATCTATTTCTGTGGTGTTCAGAAGTTTCTGTGTGAATGTGTGTGTCTGAAGTGAGTATGTGTAGTGAATGTCTGTTGTGCCCAGCAATTTCATCTGTGTGTATAAGGAGTGCCCAGGAGTTTCGTCTTTGTCTGTTTACACCAGGTGTCTTGGAGTTGCGTTTCTGGGTGTCTGTGGTATCCAGCAGTTTCTATGTATGTGAGGAGTGTCTAGGAATTTTGTCTGCGGTGTCTAGGAGACGCATGTTAGTGATTATACTGTCAGGAAACGCGTTGTTTGATATTCTGGTACGTCTTTGGTATTCTGGAAGTAGGTTTGTGGACGGCTTTGCGGTCCGGAAGACACGTCTGTGTATGTGTACCTCTGGGTGATACCAGTAGTTAAATACCGGGCACTTCATTTGAAGTGTGTGGTGGGAAAACAATTTTTTCATATGCTTCCATTACTGCTCATTACACACAGCATCATCTGACATCTAAAGCGTGCCATAGCGAGACTTCGAAACGACGGTCGAGATTTGCTCCGAAAGTCGGACATTGAATGGTGCTCCTTGCATTTTCAATTCTCGTGCTTAGATATTACGAAAGTAGTTAACGCTTTCAAATTCCGTGTCTTTGGCATTCCTTGATTCTGCCCACGATGGCGCCGAACTCGCAAACGTTCGGGAGAATTTTCTTTCAAACGCGAGTGCGCTCTAGAACTTACAGAAACTTCAAACTCCTTTTAGAAATATTAAATAAGCTTTTGTAAATGGAAATATTATTAACACAAAATTCAAATTCATCGCATTTCAGGAACTTTTTACATGTTGAAATATACCATACCAAACTACCGTTCAAAGAACTCATTACTTGCAAGAACGTCAAGAAGTACACTGAATTCTTTTAATTACTCACCAAATATCCAAGTGCAATATGTCCGTTGTGACGTCATCGATATCACTGAAAGAAAAAAACATATGTAGTTGAAATTTGTTCTTCCTTTGGACCACATAATTACATGGATCCCTTAAATTGGAATCGCATCATACGAAAGCAAGAGAGGGGAAAACAGAGCAGAAGAAAAAAAGAAGCCTGACATTCAAGTTATTTTTCTGATCTGCTCGTATATTACGTGGTGATCAGGCTGTGATTTAACTATTTGGTAGGGCTCATTTAGATTATTATTTTAACATAAGATACAATTTGAATTCTTCTAAATGTCGAAGAAATGACAATATGCTATTCTAATCATCATCTAATTGGATCATCTAGTTTGTTAGTCTTTGTTTGGTTAAATAATTGTTTTAATTTAACACAGAATTACAAATAAGTTAAAACTCAGTAACTGTAGTGAGAAGGTAGAGTTTGAATAAATTTGCATAATTTCATATGAAGAATAGTTTTTGGATGAATATCCCTTAGGGTTGTATACTTTTAATAGATTAAGGAAGTATTTACCTGCTAAAAACTCGTCTTATTACCTAGAAGGACCTCCGTAACCCGGAATTGCGCTTGAAAAATTAGCTTTCATAATTAAAACAAAACGGTCATAGAAAATTAGGGCAGATCGTGAAATAAACGAGACGATTAAAAAAGCTTGCTTTTGCATGCCAGGAAAACTGGTACGATTCCGAAAAATCAGACAAGGCTTCGGAAAGATAGAAACGTTCCAAAAATTGGTGCGGACCTAGGGAATAGGACATCCTTCCTCCTGAAAACGAGTCATTTCCATAAAATACTGATTATTCTTAAAAAAAATGAAACATTGGGATGGACGCAGAAAGATAGGAACGTTTACGCGAATTGGTTCAGAATCTGAACAACAGAACAGTCCCGAAAAGACCGAGATGATTCCAGAAAGTCCGAATGAATCTTGGACAAACCGAAACGATGTCGAAAAATAGGATGGATCTCAGAAAACAACGCAACCATCTCGGAAAACAATAACGGTATTGGAAAAACAAGAACTACTTCGGAAAAACAAGAAAGGTCTCGGAAGAACCGGATCGAACTCGGGGAAAAAAAAAGCGGGAGATTTTTGTCAAAATTGAGAGTGCGGTGGCAAAATTTGAGGACTCCTGGAAAACTGGGGGAGTCCTCACAACACTGAGAGAGTTTTAGTATAGTAGTTTACGCAATTAGTTTATAATGTAATAAAGCAACATTCTAAACGAGTTGCATATTTTTTTGTATAACAGCACTATACATTTATAAGATAATCAAACTTAATTTTGCGAAACAACTGCCTTGTGACGACTCGGGTATTTGACATCGTGCGAGTAAACGGTAGACGACTGTTCCGTTTAGCTCTACCTCCCCCCGATTCTCTCGCTACGATTGGCTGAATGTGTGATGACGCAATCATTTGTGCCTAAAAATGCCCGATTATGAACGATTTCTTGCAAGAGAAAATGTTCTTTTATAATGCAGGAATAGAAAAAGGACTCGTAGAGGTACTCACAATCTGAACTTCTCGTTCCAGCGCGGGTTGAGCGTCTGCGGCTTGACGGTGGTGGCGCGGATGAACTTGGCCGGCACTTGCACCGACAGGCTGTCGCGGTGCGCGTCGCGGTCGCGCCGCTCGCGCCCGTAGCCGTGCTCCTTGCGCTTGAAGCTGAGCCGGAAGCTGCCGACACGCGCGCCCAAGCTGCACTCCGGGCGGTTAGCCGGCACGGCACCTCTGCCCCCCCCCCCACAACCCCCTCACAGCAGGCATAGCCCCACTAGCCTTAGTGTAAATACACTGGTGCACTATTATGCGTGGGCATGGCTTTTGCAGTTTTCTGATGAGGAGGAACAAATTTTCAGAGAGAGCATGCAATCATTATAAACAGTGTCAGTCTTTACGAATTGGGGGAATTCCAAAAGATATGACGATTTCGAAGTTAGCCATTGCATTACACTAATATTACATAATATTAATTTATTCGTGGCAAGGGTCTGGTAACACAATGTCATCTGGCTGCAAATGTATTAAAGAAATAGTACGTTGTTGTTCAATATGGTGCAACTTTCACACGAAACTGTCACTATGAAACTAATTCCATGTAATTTTCAATGATTTCTCTCTCAAGCATCGGAATACAATAGATATCGAAACACGATAATATTAAGTTTGAACCCTATATATATATATATATATATATATATATATATATTTATATATATATATATATGTGTATATATATATATATACACATATATATATATATATATTTCTTTTGTGGTGAGTAGATCATGGAATAATAAAATTTGGCAAACGTTCTCAGTATTTTATTCGTACAATCTTAGGAAAGCGTTAGATGATAGGGTTTGACTCATCCTTTGTGTTTTTGAGAACTTACATGCGTGATCATATGTTTGTTGCCCCCGTGTTTTCATGTTCGCCAGCGAGTCATGATTAAGAAAAAGTTTTGAGAAGTACAAACCTCTCATACCCTCATCTTCCTCACTCACACATGCATGCACAAGCGCAAGTACAAAGTCAAAATCGTGCTTGCTTCAAAAAAGGATACCAGCGCGTTAAAATTTATTTTTTGAATCCTATTAAAATTAGGTCTTTCCTTTTAAAACTTGCGTTTAATTAAAGTGATTTATTAAAATTCATAGGTTAAAACACATACGTATTAAAAATACGCAATGTATAATGTCAAAAATACTCTTAAAAGTGCAGAAAATGAGGACTTAATTGCAAGGCATCGTCGTCACGTTCACACAAGCAAGAGACTCGAGACACAATACTAAATTGTATCATGAAAGGCGTTGGTTTCGAGAAAAAAATTGTTTACCTCATTTTTTAAAAAAATGAAAGGTACTAACATATGAGATACGACAAAGATCCAGTAGTTCGTAAAACTGTACACATTAAATATGATTTGAGGCCCTCGCTACTTGTTTGAAGCACTTTATTTCATCAAGTAAATTCAATTTTAAATAAATTTCCACTTTATGTAGCAGAAAAGTTATGAAATTCCTCATAGCACTCACGAAATGTTTCTCCGCACCAAGACCTCCAATTAAAAATTCTATTTCATGTTGGTAGCAAGTAGATCACTGGGAAATAAGTGAAGGTGACAACACTTCCAGCATCGATTACGATTGTGGTGAGCACGCAGTTTTCGAGCTCCGGCACGTGCTACCAACATTACTTCTGTTGCAAGCGCTTTCACCAGCAAGGTGCTACTGCGGAGAGACTTTCCTGCTGCGCCATATCTACACACTGGGCTAGGAGTCCGTGGGGAGTGGGATGGGATTGAAATGTATCAATATCTCGTAGAAAGCTAGAAAGACTTGCGGTTGCGTATCTTATCTTTCCAACGTGTTTTGTTGTAGTCTAATAAAATAAGAAATGGAAAAGAAAAATTAAATGGGTTGTCCAAAGAAAAGAAAACTTTCAATAGGTACATGAAAATTTGACGCAGTAGCAGAACTGACGTGGTTGAAAGGATTTCAGGATGCCAGGTCCAGAGAATCCCTCCTCATTTGCAGAGCAGGGAATTTTTTGCAAAATATAAGAAAAGTGAAATACTCGTATTTATAATAAAATATTAATATCAGACTTATTTTATCCCGATTATATTTTCAACCTAGACAATTTATGCAGAATTTGATTCTTAATACACTAAAAAGGGATTTTAGGCCTGAGGATATTAGTGGCTAGTGTTACAAACAAAAAGAGTAGATGAGTATACACTAGGAATCATTCCGAATAACAAAGGTTAACTAAGTTCTGTTGCGTCATGTCGAAACATTTCTTAATTTTTTCAGTGATAGTTGACTCACAGGGTTTATCTGCAACATTTTAGCTGCCGAAAAAAACTGAGAATTACCCTAAAAATCATTAAAACGGAAATTATTATAAGTGTCATGTACAGCGAAGAACTCAGCACCCTTAATTGGCTCGTCCCTCGTCTGTGAGATAAAAGAATGTTTATCCTCTCTGACAGCAAAGTTGGTAACTACAAATAGAATTTACAAGATAGAACATCATGGATAATAATTGTACATTTCATTTACTTTTTTGTAACTTTCGACTCGTTTTGGCAGCAAAAACTTGACCTTTGAACTCCATGTGATTGAATCACTGAAAATATCAAGACAAACGTCGACATAACACGACATCCTTGTAAAAAGGAGTTGCAATTCCTAGCATCCTACGTACAAGTGAACGAAATGAATGGTCGTGATTGACGAAGTGAGTGGATGAAGTGGGTTAAGTAGGCGAAAGGAGCAAAGTCGTGGCGCCACGTACCTGTGGTGCTTGCGCAGCTTCTCGTGCGGGGCCGCGTCGTGGCGCTCGGCCGCCGTCTCCACGCCGCTGTCGGAGAGCGCCCGCGCGGCGGCGGGCGACGGCCGGGGCGACGGGGGCGGGGTGTCGCAGCCGCCGCCGCCGCCGCCCTCCGCCGCCGCCGCCGCCGCCGCCAGGACGTAGGGCGAGGGCGAGGGCGGCGGGCCCGCGCCGGCGCTGCCCGGCTGGATGCCCAGCATGCAGTAGGGGTCGCTGAAGCCTGCGGCATCGCAACGCCCACCCACGCGCGCACTCCTGGGCCCACTCCCAGCTGCGCCCCCGCCAACGAGAGAACGAGAGGGAGAAGCGGGGAGAGGCACAAGAAAGAGGAAAGGGAAAGAGAGAGAGAAAGGGTTGCAATGGGAAAGTAAACGAAGAAAAACAGTCTACATGAAAAAAAATTTAGCTCCGAGGTTTTGCGATGTGATTGCTCGACAATTGATTGGTTTCATTGCAATCTGACGCTCTCGAGAATTTTCCAACTCCAAAAGAGAGGTAACTTTATAATCTCTTCGATAACTCATTATTTGTAGATACAAAATACTTGTATAGCATATGAGTTACCCGTACTGTGTTTCACAAGATTTGCTCTTTTATCCAAACGATACAATTTTAAAAAGTATTAGTCCTGATTCAATGACTATACACAGTTTGTGACGATGTTCAAAATAATGTATCACTAGGTAGTAACACCCTAGGTCACAATTAATTGAAGAATAAAAACGCCGAAGGTATTAACTTCCTTACTTTTGCGAACAAGGTATAGTATTTTTGGCAATGGCTAGGCGATGTTGATATAAAAATAAAACAAAAATATCTACTCATAAGTAAAATACAAAAATAGTATGAGTGAAATCGCTACAAAATTGCAGTACAGAATATTTTGTAATTTGGTTTTAAATAACTAAAGATATTATTAGTTGTAGTTTTTTATAAAAAATATAAGAAAATTGCTAATCTGAATCCAATACAACATTATTTGGTTTAAGATGAGATGAGAAGCAAAATTGAAAGTTATCACTACTCTCCACATTACTCATTAATTATGAACTTAAAAAAGGTGTCGATTAAGTAAAATCTTGAAATTTGTAAATACTGAACCGAGCACTTTAGTTGTATGTATCATTCCATTAGTTTATCCCGAAGTTATTTCATTGCGTCAAAAGATGTGTCTTCATCCAATGCGCGCGCTCAAGGGATCCAGATTTCGAAACTCATGTGGAGAGAAGGAATTGGAACTGGGAAGCAGACATTTTCGTATTTGTTCATAGCTAATCCAAAAAACGATTCGTAAATACTCATATATTTTAAAAAAATCTTCCTCCCAAAAAGGACTTTTGAGGACGGAATCTCTAAAGCCCTAGCGTGAGGTAAATTAACAATTCCTTACACTTATTGACTTCGGGTTATCCGAATGTTCTAAGAGGAACGTAAAAAAATTGAATGTTGAAAAAAATTGCTTGTTTTTTTAATAAGATTGACGATAAATTTTATTGCTCCGAGTAAATATTGAAGGGAAGAGAAGAAAATAGAACAGAACAGAACAGATGACATTAAAAAGAACAAGTCGAAGACAGCGCAGCCTCTATCTGCTGGAAGCTCTCAGTTAAGACAAGTGAAGAATAAAAAAAGAACAACGCCAATTGCAATAACCAATAAGTAGGGAAGTAAGGTAATTGTACTGAAATAAAAAATAAATTTGTTAGTAGCAATAATTATAAGCAAAAAATATTAATTCTAACATACCAATGACAAAAGTAAATAAAATAAAAAGGAGAAATAAATAAAAATATTAAATTAAAGAAAAAGGAATGAATATATCAATTATCACTAGCGATTATCGCAAGCAAAGTGTAGTCAATAATAAGTTCAAACTTTGATTCAATCAAATGATTGAAAATTAGAAAGAGAAACAGAATTTTAAATTATTGACTTGCCTTGAATGTTTATTTTTAAGTGTCAGTAGATCATTCGTTAGAGAATTTTGCTTGTGCTCTTGATTATTCCTTTTTCTTTAATTTGTTATTCATAGAAGCAAATCTCCAATTTCTATTTCATTTATTTGTCACTAGTCTTTTTTAACGCATTATTTCCATTTTTAAGTTCATTTACTTTTTATTTCAATCTCTTCTTACTTCTCTACGGGTGGAGATCACCGCGAGTTCATTCTGGAATTCGACCCGAGCGCGTTGATTACACTGCTGCATCGTTGCTGAATTCTAGTCTAGGAGTTAGTTTCGTCGGCATGGCAACGGAAGAGCAGCGCTTTAGTTCTGCTACCCCCGCTCGACTCCCTCTGCGAGCAAAGACCTTCGCGGGTCAATCCCTCGTCCGTACCACGAACAAATACGAGCTTCGCAGAATGTCGATTACGACCAAACAATACATTTTTATGCACTTGTAGCTAAATGTGTACTAACAATTTGACAATTGAAGTAAAATATATCACGATCAATGTCTTAAGAGAATAATATAATAAGTCTCTAATATAATAGTTCATTTTTTTTGTTTTTCTGCTCTAGGCATAAAACTAATTATTAAAATTTCCGTTTTAACACGGGGTTTAGAATATTTTATGTAGTGTATTTGTGAAAAATCTATTAGAAATAATTTAACTGGTGTAAAGTCTCAATGCAGTTTGGTTTCAGATGATAGCGATGAGTAACTTTGGTATGTAAATTGTGAAACGATGAAACAAACATATAATAAAATGTAACACATATTTCAATATTTAAAACACCTTAAAAACATACAAAACATGAAACACGAATAAAATGACACGTAAATTGAAAAACATAATGCACTTTAAAGCAGTATAGTACACAGAAAATGACACTCAGTTAAGCTTGAGGCTGCAAGAAGCAGGAATCATGGGCTTAAAGTGAATTGTACGTCAGTCGTTTTACATAGGAATAGGAGGTGAATCCAATTCAACATGCTTCATTCGAAATACGCTAGAATAAAATGGGGGGGGGGGGTCAAAGTTGAAACCTGCGAATACTGAAAAGGAAGAAGAGGGCAGCGAGGAGATGTCTCCCGTGACACCCCCGCTCAACCACCTACGCAGGCAACGAGCAGAGGCAGGTGCGGGCCCCCCCCCCCCTTGCATCTCCGCACCCGAAGACCAGAAACAGGAGAAAAGCGCTATAGGAGAAATGCTGCCTTTAGCTTGTCCACTTGCGCTGTGTTGTAGGAGTTCACGTTTCGACTATGGTCACACAGAAGACGTATATTGTACAGTTTGTTTATTCGTATAATAACCGTTCTTTATGGTTTTAACGAAAAGTCCACAGCACATTACTTCAGTTAAATTACTTATATCTAGAAATTATACTTGTATCTAGAAAAGTGTTCTCTTCTGTTTCTAGCCTTAATGTTTCAGATTTAATATCGAAAGATAACAGTCTCAACAACGGTGGGTCATGAAGGAATCGTTATAGTTTGAAGAAAAAATGTTTAGAAAAACAATCAATACTTTCAAGAGGGTGCAAAGCGAAAAAAAATCTGTTTATAAAAACGTTACTGAAATTGTCGAAAATTAAGAATAAATAAAGAGCTACGTACATGACACTCAAACCTATACCCAACCTCATACCAGTAGTATCTCGCAGACAAGGAACAACTCGATTAAAGTGAAAATATATCAAATATATTGCGTTTTGTATGTGTCTACCGGCAGTTTGATTTTTTATAGGGGCGTTTAAAAATCACCATCTATACGAGTATACCACTAATAAACTGTTTACATCCATATTAAATTCGGTAGTATCAAATACAATATTTAATACAATAGGAAGATCTAATAATTACGCCCGGAGAAAATATGTACCTTGCATTTCCATTCATCTTTTAAGACTGTTATTGTTCTGTATCAGTTTTGAAGTGATGAGAAGAAACCAAAGGCCATAATTCCGGCATTAACAGTTACATAATTTTTACGTATTTAATTTTCTTAAAAGTAAATTGTTGATGCCTTCAGGCATACTACCAATAATAATAACAATAACAATAATATTAACCTACTACCTATTTTTTAGTAAATTTAATGTTTACAACAATGATTAGAATCGTTATATGAGTATATTGCACAAACAAACTAATTACGATCATGATATTTCATTTTATTTAAGAAAAGTATTGCTATGAAATCATAAAATAACTAGTAATTATGTGGACCTAAAATCTTTTGTCCCCTTAATTTTATACAAGGATAGGAGAATGGTAAACACACATTATTTCATCTTTGTGTGGTCATACACGTGGAGATAAATAGCTAAATAATAATATTGCTCCATTAACAGCTCAGTAAACTTCAAAACCTCTAGTACCCTGAGTTCATGTGTCATTTTAAATATTATCTACTCAGCCTGTGAATTTTATTTTTCATTCATTCTTTCTTAATTGATTCAAAAATCAAAATCTCTTCTCGCAACACTTACGAGACGCGAACCAGAAAATTAAGGAAAATATAGCCCTGGGGCAGCCCCCCTGCCTCTGCTGCTATGGGGCGACAGCGACAGGGCCATAAGCTACAGTCGAGCGAGGTCACACACGCCCACACGCACAGGCGACAGGACAACACCAGGGGCGGGGGGCGGGGGGCGGGCGCGGGGCAGGTCAGCGCCCAGCCTCCGGCGCCTCTGAGGGAGGCGAGACATCCGTGTTCGAGGTCCTATTATCCCTGAAACGACAAATATTTAGTCACGCAAATTTCGGTAAGTGTAGCGGGGTGTTTTATAGATAATAAATTTTACGAAAATAGATTCATAAAGTTTTGCTTGGAATTTTATTTCACAAAAGGTTTAGTTATTTCCCAATCATTTCTTCCAGCAAACGAAACGACCATTTCCAAAGTCAGAATACTTGTCTTTGTCACATCTCACAAACACAAAATAAGAAGTGTGTTTTCATGCCATTTTTATGTTTTAAAATTAAGGGAAGTAAAATTACGAATTTGTCTCCATTTTTTGTTAATCCCATATAAGTAATATATTTTATTTATCTCATCAAAATGACAATATAGCTCTGATTTAAAATAGCCTTACAACTCAATACGCGTAACGAATATTATCAAATAAAGATTACAATCAAGTTAACAATCCCTGCAATGAAACATTTTGCCGCGACAATGTAGATGCAATGTAATGAGTGATTTTCGCACTGGCTGGAATTTAAACGATTGGTTTACTGCGGGTCAACAAACGCATTCCACTTTAACAA